TTTCTCATGAGTTATGATCTGACAAAAAACCTACTCTATAGACAAGACATATACGAATTGTGTGTGCATGTGTGTAAAGAATAGAATATTTGAAGTGATAATATATATATCTTCTTGGTTGAAACTGGCTCTCTGTTTCTCTAATAATACTATTTTATCTGCATAGGATAAAATTCTTAGATCCCGCAAGTTGAAAAGAATGCACCATCCTGCACACCAAGAAAAAAAACATCTAATTAAAGATTTTGGCTATAATAAAAAGCTACATTTGTAAATCAGTCACCAATTCTAGGGTTTATGATTAATGCCAATTGACTAAGAAACTTTCACGCCTTAATTTTTTATGGAGATGAGGGATTTGGAAAAAACAATACATATTGCAATATTCTGTTTGCTTGGCAATATCTATATGATCTTTGTTTGTTTTACAAGATTTTATCTCTTCTAACATTCACTGGCCCAAACTTTGCCCTTAGTCACATCCCATGCAACCCCACTTAAGTAAGTGGGGTTCTTTTAACTATGGACAGAAATTGAGCTGCTGTCTCTGAGGATGTGAAACTTACATCGTCAAAACTATAAGGGACCAGCAGAAATACTTGGAGGTCATTCTCCATTAGTGACTGGTGACCCTACAAAGATTAGTACATTCATTTCAGAGAAGCATCTAAACTTTTGGCATCAAAATACATTTACCTCTTCAGTCTGCAAAATTGAACTAAAAATCTCCGGACAAGAAGCTCTATGAAGTGAAGAAAAAGCCCAGAAGAAAATGGCATTTATTGGGATATTTCAACATTTCCATTTTGCAAAATTCATCTGAAGAACTAAAGATGAGAATGATAATGAAGGAGAGGTGATAAAAGATGGTTTCTGTCTGAAATGTATTGTTGCCATATCTTTTAAGTATACCTCATTTTGAGGGATTTTACTTATTTTTGTCCCAGAGTTACCTATGATTAAAACAAATTTGGTGTCTCCTCACTTCTATTGTTGACAATTATTTACAACAAAAATAAAGAATATTGAAATTGAGGTTACAGGAAGAGTCATTTACCCTAAGGGAAGGACTCCCACTATACTGTAATTTTCCTGCATGGAGAATTGTTTTGTGTACCTATTTTTGGTCTTTGCCACTCATTGCATTCCACATTTGGACCTCAGTGGTTAGAGAGGGATGACCATTGTAGAAGGGCAAACAGTGAAAGAATGTGATCTTAATTACCTAATATGCAGAGCACTGTTTTTTTCATTGCAAGTTTAGCAGAATTAAGCAATGAATTCCTCCACAGCCACTTAGAGACCGCCTGCACAATGGGAAAGTTCCTGTTGAGATTGTCCACAAAATTCTCTCAGGAGGAAGCTCTGGAACATAAGGAATGGCTTAATATTTTCCTTTGATAGCCCTACTAAATGGGTTCCTATTTGCCTATTATTCTTGGCAAGAAATGTCAAAAGCTCTAAAAGAGAAAAAATAGTGCCAGGAGTCTCAAGACAGACATTTTATGTAGAAATTATGTAGAGTTAGAAAATATGTCAAGTTAGAGTTATGGTTCAAAGGGTTCATAGGGAAGTCTACTTTCTATAGATAGGATCAACAACAAATGATGACACTAGCATTCTATTATGAAACACACACACACAGAGATTTCAATAGTTAATTGGCTTTCTGAATCAATATCATCTGATGGTTTTAGCAGAGCAACAACAGCTACCTTAAAATGGTATGGCTTGTTGTTGCTTGGGGCAAAATTTGATCTTGTGAAGTCTAAGCATAAGACACATTCTTCACAATCCTCTAAGCACTACCCTGGTAAGGAAATACAGTAGAAAAGTAATTGATTTTGCTCATGTTGAGAAAAAATATTGGCAACATCCTGAGTGGTGTTTATAAAAGTATTATGCAGTTATTTTGGACTTTATGCTTGATGCTAGTTACCAGTAACAAACTGCAATCACACATTTTTTTTCCGCTGATGACGACACTACAGCAGACATGCCAAACCCGTGGAAAAAAACGCAGAAATTGGGCTTGGTTTTGGCTTAATTGGCTTGTGAGTTGCTTGTTGGCTAGTTTTTGGCTTGTAGCTTGTTTGGTTTGTAGCTTGTTGTATCTTCTTGCTTTTTTTTTTGATCGGCTCCTGGCAAGCAGGGGCAAGGGGCAAGCAGGAGTAAGCGGGGGGGACAGAGTCAGGGGTGCACAGCAGGCCCACCACAGTCCCACAGCCCCCCACACCGGGGGGATCTAGATAGAGTGTTGGAGTCACATAGAGTGTTGGGGTTCTTAGGGATTGGCTTGTTTTGGCCTTGCTTTGAAATGGGCTTAGCTTGATTTTTGGCTTATTGTGAAAGTTGGGATGCTTATTTACCGCGTGAAAGTTGGCAACTGTGCACTACAGAAGATTTTCTGAGCACTTTTGAAGACAGCTCTGTTAATTAATCTAAATGGGCCCAGCCCTGAATCCTTACTCACATAAAGCTCCCTTGTGCATTGGCCATAATCATAATCTAGATGGATACAACCAACTCAGTTGCAAAAACTACTCTTAGTCATTTCCACTCTATTTGTGTGTTATGCTCAGTGTCAAAACATGATTTGAAAATGAGCATTCACAGATTACAGCAATGAATATTGCAAATAAAAATGTAGAACTGACAGTCATGCAAAAAAGCTACAGAAATGCTTGGCATTTCAATAGTGTTTTGTGCTACTGCAAAAGACAACACCACATTTTACTGAAGCATAATGCCTAGCAGAAGAAATTGACTCAACTCAGATTCCTCTCATCTCTTGTTTTCTGACATGAAATTTGTAATGAAATCAGTATCAGTACTAAACTTGCACAAAGTCTATTTTTGTAGTGCAATATTACTTTGAAGCACTCAGGACCTTTGACAGCTTAAAGACAAGATAGTTTTTAGTATGCCTTAGATACAGGAATGCTACAAGAAAGCAAACAAGATATGCTCATAATTTTCTACCATCCTGTGTCCTCAGAAAGCATGCTTTATTTTCACTGTGAAGGACAAGATGATCCGATCGGGGTGCTCACCATCAGCTCCATGCAATGTTACATGTTGGTCTTGATACTTTAGATATATGATTAAATTTAATATTTCAACTGTGCAGAAATGTTCATTTCTTGTGTAATGGCATAAGAAAAAGGATAAAACTCAGTTTTGGAAATGTGTTATAGATTTAAAACCAGGTCAGCACATGGCTGTCAGTGGTAAAACAGAATTCTTATACTGATTCCATCATCCCACAGATGGAACTGAGCAGTGTATTGGTCATTTATTTACCATTAGAACATCCTTCAACGTTCTTTTGCATTATTTCAAAAACTGGTGGAAGTTTACTCATGTGCTTCAATCTCAAAAACTTTCAACTTCTAATGCAGCTCAAATGGAAAAGGATGTATCCAGATTGAAATAGATTAAGATAGCTTCATCACACTGCTCCATGAACCAAGAATGATCCATGTTCTCACACTCAGTGAATACCATATTGCTAGATAATATTATTGAAAACTCACTGAGAATTTTACATAAATGAAGGCCTACAAAGCAAAGAACAAAACTAATTTATTATGGTGATTAAGATTAATTTGTTGTCCAAGTTTAACTTTGGACACAAACTTTCTTTTGAGCTTTCCTTTCCTCTTATATTTATTGCAAGGAAGGTTTAAAATTAATCTTTTATCATATAGTCAAAAAGTTTTAGTTTCCTTTCCATTACTGACGCTTTACATTTAGATGTGATGGGATTTTTAGTGGAATGTCAATATTAGTAAACAGTACTTTGTGTGATTGGAAACACAGCCAATAAATTACCCCCGTTATTTTAATTTAAGACCATCATTATTTACTATATGTTGCCAAGTTAGCAACTAGAAGGATTTATAAAGGACAGTAAATCCAGTATGAAACAGGATTCTCATGCACTTATTGTTCATTTCAATTATTTCAGACCTTCTGGGCACACATAAAGCTTTTTTTCTTTTAATTATCAAAATTCCCATGACTTTTTTTCCACAAAAAAATGCAAAAACATCTCCAAAACAAAATAAATTTTCACCATTTTTTGACCAGCTCTACTCATATGTTTATAAGGCACCTAGAAGGATCGGTGGGTCTAGCCCACTGAGTTAATATCAGATATATTGATTCTACACTGTGTTATATGCATGTTCTAAATACAAAGTTATGGTTGCATTAAAGAAAAAGAGTTTAAAAACCTGCAAACAATATAAATTCAGGAATTTTAAATCTCTGTGGTCTCCACACAATGTCTCCCTGTGAACTTTCCAGGAATGATATAGACAGAGGAGTCTGGTGCACCAGAAAGGAGGTTTACAGCCACGGATTTTAATAGTTCATGAACTTTAAATTAAACTGTTGTTTGGGAGGAATATTTGGATGGTGCCCCTAAACTTGGGTGGTCCTGCCATGCTGGTATTTGACTCTAAAACCAGGCTTGGAACACTAGAGGCTTGCCCATTTGAACAAGAAAGTTACCTACCAAGCACAGAGTTTTCAGCTCTGTTAAAATACAGATGTAGATACACAGCCAGAGCTCCATGAAATTTTAGCCATGTAATCCCTTACTGATGTCAGTGTGTGGCATGGTCAAACCACCTGGTTATTCTGTATTGCTTTCAAAATGTAAAGTCTAATATGAACATTAAAATAAAATTCCAGAAAACCTCCCTTTCTACATATTTTTGAGATGGGATTAGAGTTCTTTAGTGGGCCTTAAAAATGTAAATGATTTATTCTTTGATACTTTCAAAATCTAGGCCCTGATCCTCAATGGGTGTAAATCAATATAGCCCTATGCATATCAACAGAGCTTTGATGATATATGCCAGCTAAGATTTTGACCCCTGATTTGTAACTACAAACAAAGGTCTAAGTAATCAAAGAGTTGAAAATGTTTACAAACAAATATACTCATAGAAAATAAACATATACTGTACTTTACTTTAAAACTGACTTACTGGGAAGTGAAGGTGGAGTAGTGCTTGTTGGAACCAAAGTTGGTTCTGGATAAATGCTTTCCTTACACTGTCCACTTATCAGGCCAATGTCATCCAGGGCAATATCACTTTGACCTGGGTTTTTAAAGGCATCAATAATAACCTGAAATTCATGAAAAACACAAATTTAGAATGTAATGCTAAATGATTTAACGATCTGTGCCTTCTGAACAGATTTTCCCTCGTTTCATGCATTTTTTTAATTTCTACCATAATCTCTGGTCTGACATTCCATTGGTGAGTCACTAATGACAAGAGATAATTCCCCGCTAGAAAACTTTGTGAAACAGCGCTACCGAAGACTAGGTTGTGGTTCATGCTTACAAACGGAGAGATCCACTCATCTATACCCTATATATCAAATGAGTCAGAACACTGAATATGCAGTTCAATAATTTCATTATTTATTATAATGAAGTTTCCACACACAGAATCTGAAATCATTATGGTTCAAATTCTCTGCTGGCCTTAATTGGCTTATCTCCTTTGATTTATAAGGAGGTGAACTAGTTCAATCAGAAGAGAATTTGCTGTTGTTACTGTGCCCCAAACCTACTATTACCTCCAGCAGGCCTATTACCAAATATTAAGTGCTGGTGATCTGAACAGCCAAATGCAATATTCTTCATGGTGTTAAAAGGAAATCCAGGTTTCCTGGAAAACTAACTATACCCACATTACAAGAGCATTTGTTTGCTCAGATGGTAACTGCAATCATTAGCACTCTTTTCCAGAAGTGATTTTGCTCAAATGGCTGCTCATCCTCACCACCATAACAAGACTGGTCATCCCTAATACTTATGGAATGAATTTGTTGTCTAATTCAGAATAGCTGAAAAAAACTACCTAGAGTAGTTCTACTAGAGAATAATTCCTTTTGATTTTTGATACAAGTAGAGTCATTTTTTTACCTAGCTGGATATAAAAAAACATTTCCAAAACATTGGAAATTCCAATATATAATTATGTAATTAATTGGATGAACTACTTGGGAATCTAAAGTTTCTGGTCAAATCTCATTAGGGACAAATGCTTCATATGTTATTCACGATCAAGGTATTTCAACTTACAATCAGATTTGGATATGTTCTCAGATTTCCCTTGCTGTGACCAAGAGCTCTCTTTGGATATAAAGCTGGCTGTCCTCAGACAGCAGTAAGTCTCCCTGTCCTACCATAACAACAACAACAATTTAAACCCTAGAAAATACACAGTTCAGTTCTGAAGCCCCGGTCTTCTGCATACTAATAATTATTTGACAGTAAGTGTTAGTAGACAACAAAGGATATTACTTTGGCAGATGTGGAATACTGCAAACGGTTACAAAGGTTGATGGAAAATAAAGTGAAAGAGAGTTAGCTTCAAGTAATAAAAAAGAGTAATAGCTTAACAAACCTTAAAATTAGATGTTTCATTTAATGTTACTTGTCCGTAATTCCAGTTGTTTCCATAATTTCCTTCTTTCTGGAAAACTGTCTTCTCCATGTTACTGCTATTCATGATGTTAATACTTAAACGATAAACATTAGTACCATACATATGATACCTGGAGGGGAAATACCAAGATTTTATATTATCCTATCAGACTGGAATTCATCCATATGAGTGAATAAAAAGAAATATCATACTGAAAATACTAATTCAAGCTTTTCATTGCATAGCTTTACGAATTCAAGGCAGGTCAAAAACTAAAAGGTTTTAATGTATTTTCACCCAATAAATGCTGGGAATTTGTTTCTAATATCCCACAGATATTTGCAAATTTCTACAATACAGGGTATCAAAAGAATATCATATTCAGACTTTGATAACTTCCAGCATGTGTCATTCTGAGGGACTGGCAAAGGGATCGGCAATCTTTGGCACATGGCCCACCAGGGTAAGCCCCTTAGTAGGCTGGGCCAGTTTGTTTACCTGTTGCATCAGCAGGTTAGGCTGATCACAGCTCCCACTGGGGGAGGTTCGCCGTTCCAGGTCAATGGGGGCTACGGGAAGTGGCGTGGGACGACGGATGTGCTGGCCACCACTTCCTGCAGCCCCCATTGGCCTGGGACAGCAAATCGCAGCCAGTGGGAACCGTGATAAACCAAACCTGTGAAAGTGGCAGGTAAACAAACTGGCCCTGCCCACCAGGGGGCTTACCCGGGCATGTGCCAAAGGTTGCCGATCCCTGGACAGGCATCTGAAAGATCAACAAGCTAGAATGGTATTATAATATGAGTTTTTAAGCCTCATGACTTCATTATGGGTCTTTTTCTCTCCTTCCCACTCAGAATTTCTTCAGGTAGTATCTACATCAATGACAAAGCAGAACAGAGATTCCTTGTTTGAATTAATATATTTAAAAGTCTTAAAGAATTCAAGCTAGATATATAGTTTAGAGAACATTTTTTGTGTTTGTTTTTTTTCCAGACAAATAAAGACATTATAGACTAAAGATTTAGTTTTAAAAATGTAAATATCTTGATATTTTAACAGAAATAAACTCTGCAATAAAATCCAAACAAATGAGTGTAGAAGTTTACCTGAAGTTTTCTAAGTGGAAAAAATGGGTCATATTGTTATTATTTTTAAAATTTCTAGTGGTCAGAGATTTCAGAACTAGAAAGGACCATTGTGATCATCTAATTTGAGCTCCAGTATAACATAGGACATAGAATTTCATCCACGAACGAGCAAGTTGTGGTTGAACTTTAGTATGGGTAGAATCTCAACCCTATTGAAGTCAGTGGCAAAACTCCCATTCACTTTCAGTGAGGCAAGGATTTCACCCCATATCTTTTAGACAAATACCAAGTCTTGATTTAAAGACTCCAAGTTTCATTCTTTTAGTAAGCTGTTCCAACAATTAATTACCCTCACAGTTAAAATTTTGCATCTTATCTCCAGGTCTAATACTGAAGTTCTTAGAATCATAGAAGTGTAGGACGGGAAGGGACATGAAGATGTCATCTAGCCCAGTCCCCTGCACTGAATCAGGACTAAATATTATCTAGGCCATCCCTGACAGGTGTTTGTCTAACCTGCTCTTTAAAATCTCCAATGATGGTGATTCCACAACCTCCTTAGGCAATTTATTCCAGTGCTTAACCATCGTAACAGGAATTTTTTCCTAATGTCCAACCTAAACCATCCTTGCTGTAATTTAAGCTCATTGCTTCTGATCCTATGTTCAGAGATTAAAGAGAACATCTTTTCTCCCACAACTTTATAACCGCCTTTTTATGTACTTGAAAACTTATCATGTCCCCGTCCCTTCCCCTCCCCGCAGTCTTCTGTTCTCCAGACTAAACAATTTTTTTCAATCTTTTCTCATAGGTTATGTTTTCTAGACCTTTAATAGTTTTTGTTGCCCTTCTATGGACTTTCTCCAATTTGTCCAGAAATAAGGTGCCCAGAGCTGGACACAATACTCCAGTTGAGGCCTAATCAGCACACAGAGCGAAATAATTACTTTTTGTGTCTTGCTTATAACACTCATGCTAATACCTACCAGAATAATGTTTGCTTTTTTTGCAACAGTGTTACACTGTTGGCTCATATTTAGCTTGTGTCCACTATGACCCCCAGATCCCTTTCCGCAGTACTCCTTCCTAGGCAGTCATTTCCTATGTTGTATATGTGCAACTGAGTGTTCCTTCCTAGATGGAGTACTTTGCATTTGTCCTTATTGAATTTCATCCTATTGACTTCAAACTATTTCTCCAGTTTGTCCAGATCATTTTGAATTTTAATCCTATCCTCCAAAGCACTTTCAATCCCTCCCCGTTTGGTATCATCCACAACGTTTATAAGTTTCAGAGTAACAGCCGTGTTAGTCTGTATTCGCAAAAAGAAAAGGAGTACTTGTGGCACCTTAGAGACTAACCAATTTATTTGAGCATGAGCTTTCGTGAGCTACAGCTCACTTCATCAGATGCAGCTCACGAAAGCTCATGCTCAAATAAATTGTAAAGTTTATAAGTGTACTCTCTATGCCATTATCTAAATCATTGATGAAGATGTTGAACAGAACTGGACCCAGAACTGATCTGTATGGGAGCCACTCAATATGACTTTCCAGGTTGACTGTGAACCACTGATAACTACTCTGAGCACGGTTTTCCAACCAGTTACGCACCCACTGTAGAGGGCTGGGACTCACCCCTGCGGCGCCTCCGGCTGGTTGTCCAGGGAATTAGCATTCCCAGCCTCCGGAGCGCCCTCTGTAGGCCAGTGTCCCACTTGCCCCTGGGCCTGAGTCCCTCCTGGACCCCGGTGCCCCTTTCAGGCAGTACCCCCACAGATCTGGGTTTCCCCTCCCAAGGGAACCCCCACCCTCTATCCCCACCTCACTTCAGTCTATGGTCACTGCCAGTCATCAACTAGCCTCATTTCCTGGGGCAGACTGAAGTGTATGTGCCACTCATCACCGGCAAGGGGGGTTTGGATCTGTTGCTTCTGCCTACCCTTGGGCTGCCCTCTGCAACCCCAGTATCTTTCTTTGGCCTTTAACAAGGCCTGCAGCCTGGCGGTGGGGGAGGGGAGGGGAGGTTCCAGGCCGAAGCTCCTCTGCCCTTCCCTGAGCCCTGCTTAGCTCCTAGCAGTCAGGCCCATCCCTCTCCACATCTAGAGAGAGAGTATCTGTGCTTCTGGCCCACTACCCTCTTATAGGGGCCAGTTGGGGCCTGATTGCACTGGCTACAGCTGTGGCTGCTTTCCCCATCAGCCCAGCTTTTCTCTGGCACAGCCCTCTCCTGGGCTGCTTTAAGTCCTTCCAGGCAGGAGTGGGGTGACCACCCCACTACACCCACCTTATAGTAGCTCCATCTAGGTTGTATTTCCCTAATTTGTTTAAGAGAAGGTCATGCAAGACAGTATCAAAAGCCTTACTAAAGTCAAGATAAACCACATCTACCAATCCCCCACATCCATAAGGCTTGTCAAAAAAGCTGTTAGATTGGTTTGAGATAATTGTTTCTTGACAAAACCATGCTGACTGTCACTTATCAACTTATTATCTTCTAGATGTTTGCAAATTGATTGCTTAATTATTTGCTACATTATCTTTCCGAGTAATGAAGTTAAGATGACGGGTCTGTAATTCCCCAGGTTGTCTTTATTCCCTTTTTTATAGATTGGCACTATTTTTGCCCCTTTCCAGTCCTCCAGAATATCTCACCTTTTTCATGACTTTTCAAAGATAACTGAGGAAATATATGAACCATTAGCAATTAACTCCTTGAGTATTCTAGAATATATTTCTTCAGGGCCTAGTGACTTGAAGACATCTTACTTGTCTAAGTAATTTTTAACTTGTTCTTTCCCTATTTTTAGTCTCTAATCCTACCTCATTTTAACTGGCATTCATTAAGTTAGATGTCCAATTACTACTAAACTTTTTGGGGAAAACTGAGAAAAAAAAGTCATTCAACACTTCTGCCATTTCAAATTTTCTGTTATTGTCTCCTCCCCACATTGCGTAATTGGCCTACCTTGCCCTTTGTCTTCTTTTTGCTTCTAACATATTTGTAGAATGTTTTCTTGTTACCTTTTATGTCTCTAGCTAGTTTAATCTCATTTTATGTGTTGGTCTTTCTCATTTTGTCCCTACATACTTGTGTTATTTGTTTATATTCAGACTTTGTAATTTGACCTAATTTCCACTTTTTGTACACTTTTTTGAGTTTCAGAAAATTGAAGATCACCTGGTTAAGCTAGGGTGGTCTCTTGTCATACATCCTATCTTTCTTATTCAGTCTTATTCAGTTGTTTATTGATATTTTCAGTGGAAGTTTTGCACTTGAGTAAGGATTAGTGACCAGTACATTTAACTGATTCTTAATCTGAATTCTCCATTAAAATCAACAATGGTCCCAAACAAGACCTTTTGGGACTGGATTTTAGGCTGTATTAGAAACAATAGGATAAAAGACATTTTATTTTGAAGGCAATTAAATACTGAATATTTGTCATAGAATTCTAATATAACAAATATCACCCTTAATAATCCTTGGTATACTCTAGTTTTTATTTCAAACAAGACAGAAAACCTAAACCAGAGAAGAAACTGTACAAGGATAACATAACTTTTTCTTAATTACCTGGCTACTCTCTTCCTTGTGAGCTGGTTTTATCGCCAAACCATAGGACCTGATCCAAAGCTCACTGAAGTCAATGAAAGATTCCCATTGACTTCTGTGGACTTTGGATCAAGGCCCGTGTTGGAATTTCTTATGGAACTGGATAGTTAGAAAACTGGAGTGAAATCCTAACTTCACAATTCCCATTGACTACAACACGGCCAGGATTTCACCACAGGAATCTCTAGTTTGTCCTGGAATCCAAACTCTTTGTAGAACTGTGCTGCACTCCTGCTGCTGCATGGTCAAGCCAGGTTCTAGACTTTGAACCAACTGACCAAATAATTTATGACAAAAATACATTTACATATGATATCATTCTTAATTAAAAGGTGATATTTAGCAATTATATAACTTGCAGATGCTTTCTAACATACCAAAAACTTAGACAGAATTGATCTGAAGCCGGAACTAAAGGCAAGCTAAAAAGCCGAACTCTCTCCTGTCTTGCTGTAAATCCTGTGGGTGTTGAAATATAAAATCCTGTAAAACAATAAATATCTTTCATTGGCTATCAAGTTGATAAAGTTTGATGATGACACTAAATTATTATAGTCAATAAAAAGAATCTGGTTAGTAAAAAATATCAGAAACAGCAGTGTTAACTGCAGATAGAGCGAAATACACGGGAAGAGTGGGGAATGTCACAATAGCAGGTGAAAATGTATGTGTAAAGTTATGCATGTTGGTAAGCAATAGTTTTAAAACTTGTATATTTTAATGGGCCCTTAACCTACAAAATGACTGAGCAACTACTCAAGGGGTGAAAATCTGGTCCCATTGAAGTCAATGGGAATTTCACCAGGTGGGACAGGATTTAATCCAAGGAGTTTATAGTGAATGAATCAAAGTCTGCCCTTATGACAATTGTACAGGCTTTTGGAGGGAGATTATTTTCCGCTCCGTACCCTCCATACCACTCCGAACCCTTCATACCATAATGGGATATGGGGGGGAGGAAAAAAGATTGGGACAATAAGTCTTAGGTGGAAGCAACATCAACATGAAACATACATTGTTTGGTAATGTGTTTGCTAGAGTTGTCTACATTAATTCGTTGAGGCTAGGAGCTCAAACTTTCTTTTGCAATGTGAAAATGCTAAATGGGGTAAAATTAAGTGGAGAAACACTTTCATTTCAGATCAGAAAGACAATGTTAGCCACAGAATTAAGAGTCCTAAAGGTGAAATTCTGGTTCCAAGAAAACTTACAGATGCCAGGATTTCACCTTTGTTATATAGATGCTTCATGTCTGCAAGATTCATTAAAATACATGAAAGATTGGTTTGTAGAATGAAATCCAAATCAGGTTGTTCATTTCTGTATTGATTTAGAGATGCTCATAATCATAGATCAGTAGAATCTAAGTCCACTGTAATCATCTAATCTGACCTACTGTATAACACAGGGCATAGAACGTCCCCTCCAAAATCCCTAGAGAATATCTTTTAGAACAACATCTAATCTTGATTTTAAAATTGCCAGCTATGGAGATTTTGCCACAACCCTAGGTAAATTGTTCCAATGATTAATTACTCTCACTGATAAAAATGTATACCTTATTTACACCTTTGTCCAGTTTTAATTTCCAGATATTGGATTGTGTTATACATTTCTCTGCTGGATGAAGACCCCACTATTGAATACTTGTTCACCATGTATGTTAATCAAATCATCCCTTAACCTTCTTGTGTTAAGATAAATAGATTGAGCTCCTTGAGTCTATGCACAGAAGACATATTTTCTAATCCTTTTAATCACTCATGTGGTTCTCCTCTGACCCCTCTACAATTTATCAACATCCTTCTTGAACTCTGGACACCAGAACTGGACACAATATTCCAGCAGCGATTGTACCAGTGCCGAATAAAGAGAGAAAATAACCTCTCCACTCCTACTCAAGATTTCCCTTTTTATGGATCAACAGAACCTTTTAGCCACAGAGCTGCACTGGGAGCTCATGTTCATATGATTATCCACCATGATGTCCGAATCTTTTTCAGAGTCACTTCTTCCCAGGATAGAGTCCCCATCCTTTAAGTATGGCATACATTCTTTGTTACCAGATGTATACATTTACATTTACCCGTATTAAAAATCATTGCCTATTACCCAGAATGGGCAGGGATGTGTCCCTAGGCTCTGTTTGTCAGAAACTGGGAATGGGTGATAGGGCATGGATAACTTGATGATTACCTGCTCTGTTCACTTCCTCTAGGCCACCTGGTATTGGCCACCGTTGAAGACAGGATACTGGGATAGATGGACCTTTGGTCTGACCCAGCATGGGCATTCTTATGTTGTTATTGCTTCAGCCCAGTTTACAAAGCAATCCAAGTTGCTCTGAATCAGTGACCCATCCTCTTCATTATTTACGACTCCCCCAGTTTTTGTGTCATCTCCAAATTTTATCAATGATGATTTCATGTATTTTTCCAGATCATTGATAAAAATGTTAAATAGCATTGGGCCAAGAATCAATCCCTGCAGGACCCTATTAGAGACATATCCTTTTGTAGATAATTCCCTATTACAATTACATTTTGAGACCTATCAGAGTTAACCAGCTTTTAATACATTTAATGTGGGTCATGTTGATTTTATATCACTCTAGTTTTTTTAATTAAAATGTTGTGTGGCACCAAGTCAAATGCCTTACAGAAGTCTAAATATATTACATCTACACTATTACCTTTACTAACCATACTTGTTAATTTCACCAAAAATGATGTGGTTAGCTTGACAGGATCTATTTTCCATAAATTCATGTTGAATGGCATTAATCATATTCATCATCATCATGATCATCACGTTCCTATTACACCTCTGGCGTTTAGGGCAGTGACGAAGCTCCTCCACTCCAATCTGTTTCCTGCAAGTCTTTCAATGGTTCCCCAGCTGTGCCCCAGGTTTTTCAGCTTGTCTTCCACAGCTCTTTGCCATGTTGTTTTTGGGCTGCCTCATTTTAGCTTGCCCTCAGGTGCCCATCTTATTGCCACTCTGGTGATGGAATCAGTTTCTCTCTGAAGCACATGACCAATGTGCTCTGAAGCTCCAACACCTCCTGGCAATTATGGTTCTCAAAACCTCTTGGATGCACTGTGTCAACAGATCTTGGTTTGAGATTGTTCTGGGCCAAAAGATACAAAGGATTTTTCTGAGGCAGGTTGTGTGGAAAGAAGACAGTTTGGACATGTCATACTTTCTCATTCCCCAGCATTCTTCACTATAAAGTAATGTTGAAAGTATGCAGCTCTGATAAATCTTGAGTTTGGTTTTGGTTTTGTGTGTTGATGATTTCCAGACTGTGTTTAAGCTCCTGAAGGTGTTCCTGGCTTTATTGATTTTTTTCCGGATGTCCTGGCTTGTTCCACTGTCCTGGCTGATGGTGCTGCCCAAGTATGTGAATGTTTCTACATTGGCGAGAACATAATCCTCTAGCCGTACTGATGATGGTGAGGAAATATTAAATGTCATGATATCTGTCTTATTGTGGTTGATTTTCTGTCCAATTTGTTGGCTAAATGTATTGAGTCGAGTTGTTTTTTTCTTGTATATGGTGTTGGGTATGTGATAGAAGAACAAGATCATCTGCAAGTCCAGGTTTCAAAGGATGAGAAGGGTGTCCATTTAATGTCTCTTGGCATGTCTTCTGTTATACGCTGCATTACCCAGTCGATGGCAACGTTGAACAGGATTGCAGACATGAGACACCCTTGACATACTCCTGTTTTGACTTCAAAACTGAGTTTACTGTGATCAACACTGCATGTAAAGTTGAAATAAAAGCTTTTGATGATGTTGATTATATGGAAAGGGATTCCATATGCCTGCAGAATGCACCATAGGCTGGTCCTGTGAATGCTATCGAAAGCCTTCTCAAAGTCTATGAAGTCTATGTAGAGCTGCCATTGCCATTCTAAGCATTGTTCTATTATGTTTCATAGAGTGAAAATCTGGTCTGTGCATCCATGCACTTTCCAAAAACCAGCTTGCTCTATTCTGAGAACGCTATCGACTGCCTCTAATATATGCTGGACTATGATTTTACACAATACTTTGCTTGGCACAGATAAAAGTGTGATACCATGCCAGTTATTACAATCACTGAGTGTTCCTTTCTTTGGTATCTTCACTTCATTTCACTTCACCCATTGGTCCACTCATCCAGCACTTTTTCCCTTTTCCAGACTGATGTAAATAGAGGTGCCAGGATAGATGCTGCTAACTTAGGATTTACCTTGAACAATTCTGCATTTAAGTTATCCTTGCCAGGAGCTTTCCCATTTTTTAAGGATTTGATGGTTTGAATGATCTCTTCCTTATTTGGGGTGTCTGTGTTGATATCAAGTTCTTCTTCTGCCTCCTGGATGTTTGCTTCCTCTTTAGGTAGCTACCTGTTCAACAATTCTTTGAAATGCTCTGTCCAGCACATTTCTTGCTCTTTTTCGGTTGTTAGTAGGTGTCCTTGTTTGTTCCTGATGAGAGTGTTTGTTGGTGTTTGCCATTTGCCACTGATAAGCTGCTTCATTTTGTAGACAGTTCCTTGTTCACCACAAGCAGCTGCATCCTCTGCTTGTGTTGCCAGATAATGAATATAATGTCATTTGTCTGCTCTTACAAGGCGTTTGACCTCCCGATGTGTCTTGCTATACGGCTTGCGGTATTTGTCCTTTAGCTTTTGGGATTTTGTGTCTACAACTTTTTTCTTCTGGGCTAGTCTGGTTTCTATGGTGTTCCCTGTGCTGGGTGTAATCCACTCATTCCTTCTCTTCTGCCTGTAGCTGGCTTCACTGTCTGCAAGTGCTTGAAACCTGTTCTTTAACTGCAGAACAAAGGCTTTCTGTATTTCAGGGGACTTGTCAATGTCATAATGTCTATGTCCCTTGTTTGGTGGACCCACACTTCTCAGCTTTAGCTTGATGGAGGCTGTCACAAGGTGGTGGTTGCTGCCAACATCTGCACCCCTTCTCACTTTCCCATCTGTCAGTGAGCACTGCCATTTGCCATTGATCATGATATGGTCAACCTGGTTCTTATCTCTGCCATTTGGAGAACACCATGTCAGCTTGTAAATTTCACAATGTTGAAATAGGGTTCTGCCAATGACTAAGTCTTTCATATTACAGAAATCAACTAGCTTCTCTCCATTTTCATTCATGATGCCACACCCATATCTTCCCATTGCGCTGTCATTTTTTGTGTTGTCCTTACCGACCTTGGCATTCAGGTCTCCCATGACGATAGTTAGGTCATAGCATGGTACTCTCTATAACTCCACCTGTAGTGTAAGGTAGAATTTTTCCTTTACTTCTTCATCACTTCATTTGTCAGAGGATAGAATTGAACCAGGGTGATATTATTATGTTTCCCTTTCCGTCTGGCTCTCATAAGTCTGCTGCTGATGGACTTCCATTCAAGCAGGTAATGCTCTACTACCTTCTTCAAAAGGATGGCAACACGTCTCATGGTGTTGTCCATCATCCCATCCAGAATACAGCAAAGTTTCTCCCGAGGCTGCTGTTAAGCTTCCTGATGCAATCCATCGGCTCTTGCTGACACCCAGGGTGTATAAGCTGTAGCATTTAATCTCTGCTGTGACCTGGGCTAGCTTCCCTGTTTCGTACATTGTCCGTACATTCCAAAAACCAAGTCTGGTTTTTGTCTTGGTGTTGAGCACTTCAGTCTTCATGCCAGTGGCTTCCTTTTGGTTTTCACCACTGGCAGCCATATGGGTCATTGACTCCTCCAGGCTATCACACACAGTAAAGGTCAATTTTTCCATCGCTGTTTCCATAACATATTTTGTTTTTTTTACGGGACAGGGTTGTTAGCTCTGTGCCTAACCCCCAACCTGGAGGACCAGGGTGTCTGTTTTGTCTGGTCCCTCCCCCACAGACCAATCTGGCATGGTTGAACCTACCAGAAGCAAAAAGCCCTCGCAGACACAGACTCTGGGGATCATTAGAGCATGCAAGCTGTCTCACCACGACAAGGCATGGACACCAGAGGACCCTCCTTTAATTATTTATTAATCAAGTCCCATATCAGCCACTCCATGATCCTCAACAATATTGAAAAGGTTTTCTTTAGAAGTATGTGAATGAGAGATGAAATGGAAACAAGTCATCCCTATTTTGAAAATGTCTGCAAATATTTCAAGCAATGCACTTCTTTCTGATCCTTGGTTCATTAATTCTCTGAGCAATCTGAATCAATTTGGGAAACATGTCTAATAATACATATAAGTTTTCTTTGGTGCTTGTGCTGTTTATATGTATTATTATGTAGCATGCATCATTTTGGCATGAGGAATGGCACTGTATAATACAATATGATGTGAAGAAAGTGAGCAGAGGTTTAAGTCTAATTTAAGTTGAAAGTAAATCTTTTCTAGTGTACGTTTGAAGTATTATGCTGATTTGGTTCTGAGGCTTGTTGAATGTGTATTATCTTTTTTGCTTTTTTTTGGAGAGAAGCGAACAAAACAGAACATTTTAAATATCTGTGTATAATGATGCCAGCTCATATGTTTACATCAAACTGAGGCAGTAGAAATCTGAAAGTTGAATAATGGCAATATTGCATCTAAGAACTGTCAGTTTAGATCTAGTGAGGTGAAAGAGGAAACATCTAGAATAAATGAAAAATTCAGAGTTGAAAATCACTGTCAAATGTTTTACTAAATGAATTCTTTGTTATTTCAACTGATCTGGCATGCAGAATTTGAGAATGAAAATAAGATACTGTTCTCAACACTGATTAGGGAGTGTACATTTATGTATTACAGTCAGATGAATACTTTATACCAAATAATGTATTAGGCAATTTTGCCTCTTTTTCTATAAGTAACATGTATTTCAGCAGATTACAATTATCTGTATTTAATTAATGGCTGAATAAATTCTGAATAATTCTCAGTCTCACAAACAGTTTGTTGTGATTATTCAAAGTGAAATTCAAACTACATTGATTAGCATTGATTGGGTGACAGATCATATGGGGATATTTTTGTTTTCCCATTGAATAAGCATATATTTCAGATTCAGTTTTCTAGGATGAGTATTCACAATTACTAATTCAAAATTTGCAGCCCATGAATATTCTCCAATTGTTTAAAATTAATTTTTTTCTTTGGATGTTCCTTCTATTAAACTCTTTCCTATAATTTGTTCTTACCTGACAAATTGCCGTATGTATGATCATAATCAGGGCCAGACATAAAGGGAAAGGTAGGCCCACTAATTCTCTCCCATTCACTATCATCTTCTAAACTTTGAATCCAGTAACAAAAGCCATCTTCAAAATTGCAGTTAATTTTTTCATTATCTGTGAATAATATTAGATAAGAACGTAAGAGTGATGGTTTCATCAGCATGTCCAACTGTGCATTTCTATGAAAAAACAGTTTGAATTTTTAAGAGTGCCTTTGAGGACTGCAACATATGGCTATTTTTGATTCACTCCTCTCAGGAGCAACATTATAAAGTTAAAACAGTGTATATGTTTTCCTAATAAGCCTAAACTCCTTTATGTGCTGCAATATCCCTGGAGTTGACACTAAGTGCTCAGGCACTTAAGAATTCCTTTGATGCTCCACAGGTCAACAATATCCCATTCTCTTTTCTTCTGCTTTCTCTGTGTTCACTCCAGCATTGTTCCTTTTGAAGGCTTCCACAATTCTTTTTCTTTCCCACAATATCTTGCTCAATATTATTCCTCTTGTCTTCTGGCCATCATACTTTCTATTGCAGCTCACATCTTATGCAAGGGTTCCCAGAGCACAGGAATCTTGGCCAGACAGCTGCCTCGTGTAGCCATATTCTCCCCCAGGGTCATGCCCTCCTCACCCCCTGTCATAAATATAAAGGGAAGGGTAAACCCCTTTGAAATCCCTCCTGGCCAGGGGAAAGCTCCTCTCACCTGTAAAGGGTTAAGAAGCTAAAGGTAACCTCGCTGGCACCTGACCAAAATGACCAATGAGGAGACAAGATACTTTCAAAAGCTGGGAGCAGGGAGAGGAACAAAGGGTCTGTGTCTGTCTGTATGCTGCTCTTGCCAGAGACAGAACAGGAATGGAGTCTTAGAACTTTTAGTAAGTAATCTAGCTAGGTATGTGTTAGATTATGATTCCTTTAAATGGCTGAGAAAAGCATTGTGCTGAATAGAATAACTATTTCTGTCTGTGCATCTTTTTTGTAACTTAAGGTTTTGCCTAGAGGGGTTCTCTATGTTTTTGAATCTAATTACCCTGTAAGATATCTACCATCCTGATTTTACAGGGGGGATTTCTTTATTTCTATTTACTTCTATTTTTTATTAAAAGTCTTCTTGTAAAAACTGAATGCTTTTTCATTGTTCTCAGATCCAAGGGTTTGGGTCTGTGGTCACCTATGCAAATTGGTGAGGCTTTTTATCCAACATTTCCCAGGAAAGGGGGGGTGCAAGTGTTGGGAGGATTGTTCATTGTTCTTAAGATCCAAGGGTCTGGGTCTGTAGTCACCTAGGCAAATTGGTGAGGCTTTTTACCAAACCTGTCCAGGAAGTGGGGTGCAAGGTTTTGGGAAGTATTTTGGGGGGAAAGACGCGTCCAAACAGCTCTTCCCCAGTAACCAGTATTAGTTTGGTGGTGGTAGCGGCCATTCCAAGGATAACGGGTGTAATATTTTGTACCTTGGGGAAGTTTTGACCTAAGCTGGTAAAGATAAGCTTAGGGGGTTTTTTCATGCAGGTCCCCACATCTGTACCCTAGAGTTCAGAGTGGGGGAGGAACCTTGACACCCCCATTACTCAAAATGTAGCATCCTAGATGGCAGCCACCTGTCCAGCCTATGTCTAATTTTTCCCCTGAATATCTGGAAACACCTAACCTTAACTCATGTAGTTGTCCTTCATTTGTCACAAACAGATTGGCTACAAACAGATTTTCTTCCAGTATTTCTACTGACTGAAGCTGATATGCTCCTCCATTTGCTTTAACTGTTCTAGGACCATCACTCATTGCAATGAGTTAGGACACCAGTAACTCCACAGTTTAATTCACCCTCAAGTGAGCAGATACTGAAGAACAAATGGTAACGCCAATGATTTTCAATTGCTTATTCTTAAATATGTTTCTTATGATGTATCCCCGAGCTTTAATTTTTATTAAACCTGTAATATAAATAATATCATAATGCCTTGATACTACAATCAGTTCCACATAGGCCGATCTTAAGGCTCATGTTGAAGTAAATGGAGCTTCGAAGAAGCAGAAGGATCCACCCAGTTGCAGAACTGGGCCATAAAATGTAGCAGTTCATTGCTCTCAACATCTCCACTTTCTCCCTTTATTAAACACAAAATACAGATTCATCAGCCTTTGCTGTTGAGAAATAACAAAGGACAAAAGACACTTACTGCTTAGCTCACTGGTACTAAAAATGGTATATGTTGCATTGAATCCATTATAATTTTCAGAATAATCTGTAATAAACTCTGCGGTAGCCTCATCAGAAAAAATGTAAACTGTTCCAGGATTTGTCCCCCAGAGCGAAGCTAAGAATAAATAAATAAAAAAGCAACTGTCAATTACAGAAGGTAATTCGATGTCACTTAAAATGAGTGGTGCTATTATAAAAAGAGAGTGAGTCTGACTGGTTTTTTCAATTCTGAATAAATCCCTCTTTGCAGAAGTGGTGGCTCTATCTGAAAAAACAAACAAAACAGCATTTTTCTAATTAGCTAAAATATAATTATTTTTGTGAGGTCCCTCAGATCTGCACATCCATCTTACTTTAATTTCAGCACAGATACCAGCTAGTGAATGACTGTAACTAAACTGGTTGTGCTTTAATTGTATTTTGTAATATCTAACTATTCACATATTTCAGAGTAGCAGCCGTATTAGTCTGTATTAGCAAAAAGAAAAGGAGTACTTGTGGATGAATGCATCTGATGAAGTGAGCTGTAGCTCACAAAAGCTTATGCTCAAATACATTTGTTAGTCTCTAAGGTGCCACAAGTACTCCTTTTCTTTATTCACATATTAGCTCTTCAACTTCACACTTATTTCCCTCTAAATATTCTGGAGTTTTTGATACATGTATAAACTCCAAACCCCTAAGACCAGAAGGTCGACTACATGATTTCATTACTTGAGCTTACCTCCATGGTTTGGTAATTAATACTTTTATTTTTAGAATCAAAGAACTTTAAATACACTATGATTACATTGTAGTTTAATTTTCTTAATAATGTATACATCATAAAAGTATGAAAAAATAACAAAAGCAATTACAGTGTAGTCAAAAATCACATATGACTGTGAGTTCTAAAATTTATTTATGAAACTAATGGGGTAATACAATAAGTAACTTAGTCATGTAGTTAGCCTCCTGGTTATCAGCATGAGCCAATACCCAAATGTGGTCAGTGGAAGGACTCAAATTAACTTCAGTTGGCATTGGGTCAGGTCCTATTTTATGAGTCACTGCATTATAATATATCCAAGGGGAGGCAAATCCTGGACTCCCAGTTTCCATTATTAAGTGGAGTTTAGGCTAGGCTCTCTTCCTCTCTCAATTTTTAGACAATTTCATACAGTTAGCAAGTGTGTGCTCTGCTGCAGAGGAACTTTTTGCCCATTTTAATTCTATAAATCTTTAAAAATATGTCAAAATGATAATTAAAAACTAGAATGACATAGATATGTATAGGTTTCAGAGTAGCAGCCATGTTAGTCTGTATTCGCAAAAAGAAAAGGAGTACTTGTGGACCTTAGAGACTAACCAATTTATTTGAGCATAAGCATAAGCATGCATCCGATGAAGTGAGCTGTAGCTTATGAAAGCTTATGCTCAAATAAACTGGTTAGTCTCTAAGGTGCCACGAGTACTCCTTTTCTTTTTATAGATATGTATGTACCAAATTCTTCCCTTCCATAGTTTTTTCCTTCTGAGTGGAATGGAAACTCTGTGTGGAAATCCCTTGTAATTCTTCCTTCATGGGACATGCAGTGCCCCTTGGAAGAGACCAAGGTTCTATCCCCTTGATCTACAGATTTTGGAGAGAGCTAGTGGTGGTAACATGCATTAAGGTGTCCAATGCCTTTATACTACCACCAGACCTTTTCCCCAACCATTCCTTCACCTCCTGGGAAGCACAGCTGCTGCAGAAGCAATACTACCAAGGGATCACCCAATTGAAGCTTCCTGATCCTCCACTAAGGAACCATGTGTGTATAAGGGTGAGGTGAGATAATGTCACAGAGACAGAATTTCACCTTTCTTCACTATATATCCCCTTCTCCATCCAGACACTATTTGTAGCGCACATTTCCCTTCACTTACAAAGACAAAGACTATAATGATAAGGAAACCTCCCAACTTTTTCTCTAAATATATATTAAAACCCCGCATCAAAAGTTGCTTAAATGGGTTTATTCAAGTAAAATACAGGTATAATCTCACTTCTTTAAAATAGGACACAGTGGTAAATAGTATGCATTGGTGATCTTCAGATTTACTTAGACCATAAGCCAAATAAAGCATTAAAAAGTGACTCTCTCCTTTGTATCTTAGAACAACATTTAGCAAGCCACTTTAAATGAGTAAGCAAATATATTTAGATCAGAAATCTTCAAAGAAAAAGGTAATCTGGACAACTATATGCATGTATTTGAGTCACCTCAAATATAATAATGACTGAAAAGTAATCTTGTCTTACCTCTTAAAATCTTGCTTGGTCCTGTACCTTCATAAATATTTAAAATGTCTGCATATTGTTGGGTATCAAAGGAAGTGAAGTTTAGTTTAATGGATAATCCTTTATTTGTACTAAAATAACAAAAAAAAAACAAAAGAAAAAAAGTAAGATTATATGCTTCAGTAATTTTCCTTGTCTGTAGTAAATGAACTGTTAGTATGAAGACTGTTTAATGGATAGTGCAGAAAAATTATGGGAATTGCATTATCAGCTTTTCTAATCTGTGCTAATCATGGTGAAATTTTAGATGAAGCATTACACTTTGTACAATAGCAAAAGAGAACAGATGGGAAGCCTCTTCACCTGTGGAAACTGTAGGAAACAAACCTCACTTAAGCAACTGCTTAATTGATTATCCAGACCACCTTTTTTAAGGTTCTCTTAATTTTGATTGCTTAACTAAAGAAATGGACTCGAGAGTTGAATTTTAGTTTATAGATTTTTATTAAATATCCTTGCCAGTAGCAACTAATATTATAGGATATAGGAAGACAAAACTAGTGTTGAATTATGATTTGGATAACACAAACTAAAAAATTGGTTGATATAACCATTCAGGTTTTCAGAATCAAATTAAACAACCACAATAGAAAATAATATTTATCCTCAATTACTACCTTGGGAAGGTGATTTAGTTTAGATATTTGATTCAGAGTCCCTCAGAACAGGGCCCCCCTTGAGTCATTTGTTTCTCAATTCCGATGTTGCTAACAGAGAGGAAAAAACAATCCAAAGCTAGATCACAACACAGTTTTATCAGTTACTTTCATAACAATTCACCAACATCTCTTTCCCAATGGATCTATAGTAGTCAACTCTTATTATCTATTTCCCAATTAATTATATTAGCCCCAGGATTTAACTAACACTCCTAACCGTCTAACAAACTCATACCTTTATGACAAACTGTACAGACTGAGTGTAGTACAAGAAGCTTGTACACTTGGTCTCATTTTATGTCTGTATACACCTAGAATTTAAAAGGCAGTATGCAACCATTCACTATGGTAGCTGAATGCACATTTCTTTTCCAATCTTAGTTAACAACAGAAACGTTTTCATTTCTAAAACTACTTTACAATAATCTTGACTAGAACCTGTTACAAAATAGGGATACACACACTATAACTCTGACAATCCTTAAAGCACATATACAAGCATGTACACATCCTTACTACGTAGGTACCTAGTTTCAGGAAGTGGTCAATTGACTAATTTGGGTCATCACCTAAGAGAAAGTCTGTATCACCTGATCTTTGCTTAGTGGTCAGCTTTTTAGTTCAGTTTTCATTCACAGTAGGTGTTCACTTTGCAAACACAGATGGAGCAAAAGACAAATACAACCATAGTTTTTCCCCAGTGCGCTAGTAGGCAACCAGAATTGCTGGAAAATAGAAACATTCAGTTAATGACTTCTATCTGAGAGAGATACTTAATGTCATCAGGAGGAGTCCTTGGTGGCTGGTCCAGGACCTTAGTCTTCTCTGGTCCAGAGGTCTTTGGCTTTCAGGAAGTGATGTACTGAAAGAGATAGGCCCTTTGATCCCATTTCTGCTGGGTGGTTCAACTTTATCCTTTTCTTGGAGGTGCTGGAATGGACCAATCAGATGGTGACCCATACTACTTCTGAATATTAGAAATGGCCAACCAAAATAAGAGTTCTCATCATCCTCTCAGGGAACGAGACATAAGCTTTTGAGTTCTTGCAACTGGGATTGGGATTTTCCAGGCACTTTATGAAACATGCTTTGTTACACCAGTTTGTGTACAGCAAGTTAGGTCATAGCTGTTGGTGCAACCAACTTGAGTTGTATCTTGAACACTAGCTTCACTAGCTTTGCAGTTATGCCTGCTCAAGTTGCAGCTTCTCCAGCAACTGTCTGCTAGCCACTGAAATCTCCAAAGTTCATATCATTTATACAAAGTCCCTCCATATTCTTTGATACTCTTTAAACTTGTTATAACAGTCCATTATACAATGCAAATCAGTTCAAGAACTGTTGTTCTCCAACAGGTCAAAACAGCGGTATAAATCTTCCATTTCTGTTCTTCTTTCAACAACAATGGTGAGACCTTGGTATGTATGGCTGAGCTGAGCCCATGCATTATATATAACCAGTTACATTTCTGATTATTCTACTCTGTGCTCAAGTGTCCTTATAAACTCACTATTTGGTTTCAATTTCTTTTATTTATTGTCTCTCTCACTGCAGCTGTATTTCACTAGCTTGACAGCATAAGCATGCTTGATTGCAAACATTAGGCTTATTTTATCACTTAAGCTAAAATTGATCAGTATGAACACAACCACTTTCTTTCCTAACAATACCACCCATGAATAAACCCTGTCATTAAAGTCTTCAATATTTTGCCCAAAACTGTATCACCTATAGTTGCCTTTCCTTTTATATACATATTAATCATAATATTAGATTTAATCCAGTTTCCTATTTCACTGCTGTATCTGGCACATCATATAATATCAATGTTTGATGTTAAATACATTTTTCATTCACTCATTTATTCATTCACAGACAGGAAAAAGGGGAAGTCTCTTTAGCTCCATCAGTGGTACACTCTTGCAAAAGGCTACAGCAACTTCACTCAGGGCACAGCCAACCTGTGCAACTCCTTGTGAAGGTTAGGACTATAACAGGGTTTAAAAGAGAACTGGATAAATTAATGGAGGTTAAGTCCATTAATGGATATTAGCCAGGATGGGTAAAGAATGATGTCCCTAGCCTCTGTTTGTCAGAGCGTGGAGATAGATGGCAGGAGAGAGATGACTAGATCATTACCTGTTAGGTTCACTCCCTCTGGGGCACCTGGCATTGGCCACTGTCCGTAGACAGTATCCTGGGCTGGATGGACCTTTAGTCTGACCCAGTATGGCCATTCTTATGTTCTTATGTTACTCTGATTTTTCTCAAACTATTGAAGAAACCTAGGTGTTAGACCTTGAGTTTTTATTCTCTTGGCCATTTGTTCTATCTTTTCTAAGAGGTGTTAATGATTGGGCAAATTCTTATATAGTGATAACTCATAACCTTGGTTACTACCAGAGCCTACAGATTCCTTACATACATAAAACATGCACTTCAGGGTTTGAACCTTCTAATAATTTGGAATCAGAAGTAGAAATGGGTAGCTCTTTTTCTTAAACTGGTTGCTAATTTGTGGCCCTCTTCTGATACTTGCCTCATGATGAGTATCACTTTAATTCCCAAGTAGCTTCATTTAAGTCAAATGAACTTTTGTGGAGTATTTCAATAATCAACAAGAGAAAGGATTTCAGAATCTATGACTTAGTCCATGCTACCTTCCTCCTTGTTCCAAAACCACAATTTAAGTTCAGAAGAACCGGAGCTGTCCAACCTATGAGTTGGCTCTATGTCTTCACTTCTAAGCGTTGCACAGCAGTCTGTTGCATCAGTTCAATATCACAAGTGCTGCATCCTATTCCCCCCCCTCCATCACATTCTCCATATTTTTTCTAAATGATTCTCTCTCTACTCTCCCCATCAGAAATACATGGTGGTCCAAGATCCATAAGTCCACTGCCAAAATCAATTAATCATTCCAACAGAACCATGGATTTGTTGTTCTCTGTGGTTGTGATTCCCAGCGGAAATCCAAATACAGTTTTGAAAGCAACATGCCTGTCATAACCAGTTAGGAGATACACATGGAACAAGGTTTCATACAGCTTGTAATCCTTTTTATTTTTCTTTTGTGGCTGTGCACAGATACAAACATAAATATATATATTTATGAAAATGAAAAGATGAAGAATGCTGTGAAAAATAAATACACTGGGGGAGGACTGCTTGTGTAATTAAATATGATGGAGGGAAATTGACCACGCTGTTGCCATCATATTATTTTTATGCTTTAGGTAAAAAAAAAAAGATGAAATTATATCTTTATTAAGGAAACAACTAGAAAAGGGAACACAGAAAACATCTTTTATCAGGGGTCACTGCTGAACTTTCTGGTTACTTAGTAGAGAAGGAAAGGATGGAAAAAGATCAAACTTGGTTGTGCTGCAGGTTGATTTTTTTTAATAAATATTTTCTAACAAGAACAACATAAAATGCATCCCATTGGTGACTGAAAAATTCAAAAGACTCTCCAAAGAAACAATTGCACCCTGAAGGAAGACAAGTGTCTGAGTTAGGAGATAGCCAGCTGATCTTTTCAGGCTTTCATTGTGAGTACTTAGGCTTTTCTAAGCAGAGAACTGAAGAATAAAACTAGACAATTATTTTTCCCATTGAGAAACATGTAGCTACACACATTTGATGCATCATTACTGTAATGTTGGACATAGTAGATGAACCTTTAAAAGGCCTTTGATTCAACTACACCGGAGGGTGTGGCATCCAAAGGTTAACCCTTAGATACAGGACACTTCCTCTTATGTTTGCATGTTATCTGTGATGCTCCTTTATCTATCAATTCACTATGCAGCACAATCTCATCACTTCATGACAGAGAAGTGTTAGAGAGCTGCTATATAAAGGCTAGGTATTATTGTTAGTAATAACTGATGGGATGATTTTGATTCAGATTACTGACATGGGAGTATTTTAATATGAAAGCATTCTCATCCAGACCTACTCTGACCTTTGTGGGATGATGTCATGGGGTTCACTCACCACTAGGGGTGCATCCTCCTGGCCGTTCTGGGGATTAGCTCCTTCCAGGTGCTGTCCCCACCTGTGGTGGTCTCCCCACCCATCGTCCTCTTTCACCTTGTGGCCCCTCTTACATCAGCAGCTACAGCTTCCTCTTTGTGTCTTGGACCTCCCTTTCTGGGGCATCAAAGTCTTTCAAGGCAAACTGTCCAAGGGAGTCTACTCACTACTGCCTGGTCTGTGACACTTCCCCATTGGCTGGCAGGGGAACCCAGGCTCATCCGCTACTATGGGTTCCAGCTCAGGGACCCTCTAGTCAGCTGCCAAGCTCTGCTCCACCCTGGATCTTACTGCCTTTTCCCAAAGACTTTCCTTACCTTTTGACTCTACCCCCTTCTCTGGGTTTGTCAGCCACACACCTCCTTCCTTCCTAGGAAGTAACTTTCGGCTACTTATCTCTATACCCCCAAACACACCTTCCTTCTTCCAGGGAGTGACTAGAGCCTACTTCCACATATCCCCTTTCTGCTCTCAGCTCCTGGGCTTTACGCAGGCCCTGCTTGTTCCTGTTCAGCTGAGCCTTGCCTAATTAATTCCTGCTCCCTGCTTCCTCCTCCAGGTGCTGCCTGGGAAGCACATTGGCCCTGATAGCCAGCCTTACCCCTTCAAGCCTTGTCTGGGATGGACACCCCGTCACAGAGGGGTACTTTCATTCAGGCAGAGCCCCAATGACTCTAATAGGGGCCTTATGCCTTATTCCATTTTTGTAGGTATGTGGGCCATAATTTATTTCATGTGTTTAAATTGGGTAAATTCATCACCAAGGCCTATATTTTAAAAATTAGGTGGCTACAGTTTGGGTCCTAAATCCTTTTTTAGGTACATGATTGTTAAAAGTGCTGAGTACCTACCTGTTTCCACTGATGTCACTGAGAGCTGTTGGGTGCTCAGGCTACTTATTTAGGTGCCTTATTTTAGTCACCCAATTTTGAAAATCTTGGTCCAAAATCGCTAGATCAGTGGTTCCCAACCTTTCCAGACTACTGTGGCCCTTTCAGGAGTCTGATTTGTCTTGCCTACCCCGAAGTTTCACCTGACCCTTAATATATAATATCTACTATATCTGATAATTAGTGTTTGCCAGCAATTATCAGTGAATGGCACTGCAGATATCAGAAGCTGGAGAGTGATGAATGTGTTTATAAAAAGGAAAACAGAAGACTTAAATACACTGCTGACTAGTTGAGATAAATGGGCAAGTTAAGTACCTGCCCTGCCAGAACAACCTCAAAAACTGGGACTTTCAAAGGAGCCTGTGTGATTTAGGATCCCAACTGGCACTGAATTTCAGTGAGAATTGGGTGTCTAACTCCCAAATTAATCACCCTCATTGGGTACATGAGGATCACAAGACTGCCATTTTACAAAGACATTACAAGAACCTTTGCTTCTCAAAGTACTTTTGAGTGTGCTAGTTGGCATAGAGTGGGATTTTCAGAAGCACCTAAGGCCCAGATCCTTGAAGATATTTAGGCACATAAGTCCCATTGAAATCAATGGGAGTTAAGTGTCTAAAAATCTTTGAAGAGCTGGGCCAAAGTGACTTAGGAACAGAAGTCCCATTGACTTCCAGCAGAGACTTGTGCCCCTAAGTCACTTAGGCACATCTGAAAATCCTGCTCGTCAACAACAGTTATCTCTTTCTAAAACTATTGCTTTGAAGGTAATATTTCCAGTAATATTTTTATGAAAGATAACATTCTGTGGAATGGAGAGTCAACTGAGTGGTAATACACCCAAATTATCCAGAGCAGACAAGTACTTACATATATAAAAAGTGAGTACCCGAGGTTTCTCACACCATCCCTACCACCTCATGCATCAAATATCTTAAGTGAAAAAACTGATGGTATATTTGACTCTTGAAGTTTGTCCCTTGTTTTAAAGAAAGCTGTGTACATAAATGGAAGAAATTTCTATTGTACATTTTACATGAACATCTTAACAGGGAATACAAAACACAGGGAGTACGTTCTGATATACAGGAAATGAGAACACCTTACAATCAAATAGATGCTAGGAAACAACATGTTTTGAAGCTACTTACCGTATAATCCATTGGCAAACAATGTTTGAATTATAAGGCTTTGGATAATTAATAGAGTGGAAAGATCCAGAGGAGCCAGTCAACATAAATTTTCCATCACAAGTTGTAGCTGTAAAGAAATAATCATTAATATTTGCCATAGTACAGTATGAAATTTGAAGGTATTGCCTGAATGAAACTGGGCTCAGAAACAGACTTATATCCACAATTTGTAAAATGTATTATAGGGAACAGTCCTGCATTGACAGGGGGATAAGCTAAATGACCCAATAGATCTTTCCTATTTCTAACTCCTATAACTGTATGATTTCACAGTACAAGCTTGACTTTTTTTGTCTCACTGACATATTATGGAAAACTTTGTACAGTAGTCAGAGACAACACTGCTTATCTAGCCATTCATTTTTTGTATTCTCCTTCCCTGTTTTATTATTATTAAGTGCATTCACAGAGACACAGGATCTTGCCTTCAGAGTTCATATTTCCTACTGCTCATTCATCCTGGAGCTCATGAAGGATGTGGTTCACACCTTTTTTAAAAATCAGTGAATTTAACCAAAAACACAAATGCAAAAAGCACAGTAAGAACATGAAAATGGACAAAGTTTTACATTTGCACATTTTGAATTCCATAGGGTATTTTTTGCTAAAATAGAGGCATTGTCCAAATCTAACATTAAATACTTTTCCTGTATCCTCACCGACACTGATCATTAGGGTAGTCTTATTTTTAAAATAACATAAATGTTTTTCCCTATGCTTTCCATTTACCATTTAGATATTTTACTTGAAAAATGGACAGCTACTATATTTTAAATGCAATGCCACATATTACTCAGGGAGCAAGAGAAAGTTGCTCAATTTGATACAGATCATAAGAAGTTATATATTGTTAGTAAGATATTTTTGTCTTTATTAATATGGATGTGACTATTACCCCATTATTAATAATAATAATGTGCTAAATTTATCAAGTGCACAAAGGTGTGGTATTTTCTTATAGATGTGTAGCAAAATAGATGCCAGCCTCGTAGAGTTATCACCCCATAATGACTAAGGCAAAGTTTGGCATGTGCTTTGTTTGTTCAACAATTTCCTTTTGCTGGTCTCCCATCCCCCTTTCCTTTATCTGCTCTCTCACACTATCTGCCCCTAATCCAACCCTCCCCATCACAGATCTTACTAACTGTAAGAGGGCTACACAACACAAGAGCATTAAAACATAAATCCACTTATCCAAGCAGGAGATTTCCCCAAACAGTCACAAAGAGTTAGTGTTTAAAGGTACTGGCACAGGGCTAATGGTGTTGTCCCTTTGGATTTCCCTAGCCTCCTCACCGGTGTCTCCGGATTGCTTCAACTACTTCCCTTGCAGAGAAAGGAGGCACCTCGGGTCAGGGTAAGGCAGAGTCTGAGCTGTTCTTTTGACTTCTTCTGCTGCATTGCTGGAGCCCCTGGGTAGCTCCAGCTGCTTCCCTTGCTGGGACAGAAGAAGGACCTTTTGGTCCAGTGTGGGGTTTCCTGGAAATTGCTCTTGTTGCTTCTCCACCCTGCGAGAATCTGGACAGCTCCAACCACTTGTCTTGGAGGCTGGGTGCATTTAGGATTTAATCCTGCTCTCATTTAAGTCAATGACAACACTCACATTAACTTCAAAAGAGTAGGATCCAGCCCATCTGTTTAATGTGCAGAGCCTTTACTTGTCGATGAAGGTTTATTTCTTCACTGCTAACGTAGGTTAATCTCTGTTAGCAAAGTAGCGATGCTGTGAAGTAGGTTTATTATGGTAGACAAAAACAGGGGTCTTCGCGCCCGTCATGAAAAATAATGCCCCCAAGTGCTGAGCGCCCAAACTCCCTCTCCTTAGACTGATGTGCTACATGGCTGCTTTTCCAACAAAATTAATTAATAAAAATAGTTTAGGCTTTCCCTACTTCTCTGGAGACCCCTTAAGTACTATTTCTAACTGCCCTTCAGTATTGCCTATTGCTGTTGCTGCCCATAGCACAGCCAGAAAGAAATATTTCATGGCAATTTTATTGATAAAACTAGAAAATGAATGTATCTTTCATCATCCGTTGTCTGAATCTCTGCTTAAAAGCTTATGGATTTCACTACACTTTGTCAAAGGCAGGAAGAAACGGTTAGAATTTCACCTTTCCTGTAATGTATCTATACATCTCTAGCATATGCTAAATTCAGTAATACTAGAGGGAGAAATAAACTGGGGGGAGGAGAGGAGGAATCAAGTAGTTTAGTTGTTTAAGTTGTTTAAAGGGAAATAGCACATTTTGTGTGCCAAAGAACTTGAACAAGAATTATAAATTGTCTGTAAATCTCATTGTAAAACTCTGTGGCACTTCTGAAAAGCCAGACAACTTTAGCTATTATACAGCTGTATTAAGTCACTCTGGGGGATGGGACAGGAGTGAAAAATCAAAGAGGTAGAAAACTTGGCAGGTCTCCCAAATGTGCACATTGCTTATTGCCTTTCTGTACACTGGCTCTGCAAATGTTGCTAAGAAGCCTAAATATAGAAGCCTGGAAAAGCTCTTTACTTTTGAGCATAAGATTTAAGATTCAAAATCTAAAATAAGGGTGATGGGCTGAATAACATGTTATCCTGAAACCAGACTTTTATATTCCCCCAGGTTGTGAAGAACAGCTTTCAGTGAAAATGTGAACTGAAAAGAATAGGTTGGATGCTTGATCCACCAGCACAAATGAAAAGGAAAAGGATACCACCAGTAACTCCCTAGAGCAGGCTGTAACTTCTGGATTTTGCTTTGTGAATACTCTACATCAAGCTTCTGTGTGACATAATTGCACATCATCTCTGTCCTAAAGACCCAGGCAAGTTTGGACTCAGTTTTATATATTCAATGCAATCTAAATAAATGTTGCTTTAAGTAAGAAATAATGTTCTGATTTTTCAAAGGAACTGAGCAGTCAAAGATTTCATTGAATTCTCCCTTATTTTACAAGTGTTTCTATTAGTTCTCTACAAAACATAAGCAAAATCTGTGAGCAAAACTGACCTCACAAGCAAACTTGGTCCTGCCTCAGGGCAGGGAGCTGGACTTGATGACTCTCAAGGTCCCTTCCAGCCCTGCATTTTTATGATGCTATGAAAAAGTGTTATTTATTCTAATAAAAATATGCAATTACTGTTAACCATAAAAAATGATTGGTTTATTTCTTTAAATGTTGCAGGTAGAATACTTTGTATTACACATAACGTGGAATATTTATGTACTGCTTCAGACCGCTGTACAAACTTTAGCTAAATCATTGGCAGGTGCTATTGCATCAAACTTTTTCTGAGTCAAAGGCCCAATTACGCAAACTCCTGAATTCCTTTTCACTTCCACTGATTTAATGGGAATTGATGGCTGGAATGAAATTTATTTGGCTAAGTTTGTAGTGAAGTGCAAGATTACAAGAGATTTAAGTATGTGTGGCGGCTTTTTTTCTCTAGTGCTTTGTTCCAATTGTTAAAGAACTACATTTTTTCCCCAAGAAGGTCACTAACATTGGTCACAGGTTTCCAAAAGGAGGAAACTCAAGTGTCCAAAACTCTGACGGACCTGCAGAGTGATAAGTGGTGGTTCCCAGAAGGGAGTATAACTTGGTTTTGAGCTAAGTGTGAGGAGAAGAATGAGATTCCACCTGAAGACAGGTACAGGCAAGGGACCAGAGAGACAAGAAAGGGGTCAGAGGTGCAGTTAGCACATAACAAGAGCAGTCAACAATTTGAAGAAGGGGCTCAGCACCATTTGAGGTCAGACCTATTCTTGAGATGTTCCTGAGTCATTTTTGGTAATATTTGATCAGTTCCATTGCAAACATTCTAGTAAGATGGAAACCAGGTTTGACATAATAAAGAGAGACCTATAAATTGCCTCAGTGCAGTAGAATCCCCCTGGTCAACAGTATTAAAAGCTAATTGAGAACAGTGAGCAATGGAAGAACATCAGATTGAAGTAGGATACCATTATCAACTATCACAAAAGACATCTTTGTACTGGTTCCACCAAGAAATTAAGGTTAATGCATCCTGGAGATGGCGTATGTGGTTCTGCAGCTGCATAGCAACATCATTTGATAGCACAATGTTGGATATCATTGGTAAATTATTTGACAACAGCTTTTCCATTAGATGAATAGAGCTGGCTTATGCTGCTTCAGCATTAAAGCATACAAATATTCATAAAAATATCAAGCTAATCTATAGTTTCATACATTTCTTAAAGAGTAAATTATCTTCTTGAATTCTATTTTTCACTTCTAGTGGGATTGGTTTGGAAGATACTTTTACTGCTTAATATATTGACAAGTACAAGCAGATTTAAAGATTGATTCAGAGCTTTACATTCTTACCACATATTTTTTCAGATTCATCTGAACCATCTGGGCAGTTTGGTACTCCATCACAAAATAAGTCTTTACTTATGCAGTTTATGGCATCAGCACAAGGTTCTTCAGGAGGCAAACATGTCACTGAAATAATAATTGAAAAAAGAAAAGGGGAAAAATAAAATTATATTAGAAAGGAGAACTGACTTGCCTTTGGGACTCCATCACAAACCTGATTACACAACAATTATGTGAGTGGTATGTCTAACTTGCTTATGGTTTTTTACATGCTCTGAGTCAATAAATAATACCTGAAAGGTGAATATTAGTACAGAAGGGTGAATAAGTTCAGAAATATGAAAACTGAACATTCACTTCTTGTTAGAACTAAGCTCAAAAGGAGGGCTGGTGGAAATCTTTTTATCACTTTTTTTTGCAAAATGAAAAAAAAATCATTTTTATTTGACTCAATTGGAAATTCATTTTTTTCACCTTCAATCATTTCATAAAGAATTTAAAATTTGTCATGGAAAAAAAATTCTCACATTTTGAACAGCACTAATAAAAAAGCCCTTTAAAGGACAAATTTTAGTAATATTATAAATCTCTGAGGAAAAAAATCTATTTTTGTACAATTCTCTGCCCAGATTCTGCAATCAGCTCCCTGGGGCTGGACCCTTAAGTCTGTATGGAGTCACACTAACAGCACTGCCCAAGGGTATAAGTGTCCCTCCACATGGATCTAATTGTTGGATCAGGGCCAAAGAGTGCAGTCCTGACCCCATTTAAGTGAATAAAAATGCTGCCAATGGAGCAGGATTGAACCATAAAGACATTTTGGATAAGCATCCTGGAAGTACATACCTCACGGGATAGAGGTGAGGAGAAGGGTAATCACTCAGTTCTATGTACATTTGTTTTTGCTTTTGTTAGTAAATGCATATGAGTGAAGGTGGAAAAGATCTGACTTAAGAAAAAAGGGGCAAAATACTTATAAGAACATAAGACTGACCACACTTGATCAGATATATGGTCCCTCTAACCCAGTATCCTGTCTTTTGACCATGGCTGGTGGCAGATGCTTCAGAGGGAATCAACAGAACAGAACAATTATTGGGTGATCTATCTTGTCCTCCACCTTCTGAGAATCACAGGTTTAAGGAAACCCAGAGTAAGGGGTTGCATCCCTGACTATTTTGGACTAATAGCCATTGATGAACCTATCCATGAATTAATTTAATTCTTGTTTGAACCCAGTTATACTTTTGGTCTTCACAACATCTGGCAATGAGTTCCACTGGTTGACTATGCATTGAGTGAAGTACTTCCTTTTCTTTGTTTTAAACCTGATGCCTATTAATTTCATTGGGTGACCCCTGGTGATTTTGTTATGTGAAGGGGTAAATAACACTTCATTATGCACATTCTGCACACCATTCATGATTTTGTAGACGTCTATCATATCCCCTCTTAGTCATCTCTTTTCTAAAATGAAGTCCCAGCGTTTTAAATCTCTCCTCATTTGGAAGCTATTCCATACCTCTAATAATTTTTGTTGCCCTTCTCTGCAACTTTTGCAATTGTAATTATATATAGTTAAGCTGGAGAAACCAGAACTTCACATAGTATTCAAGGTGTGGGTATACTATTGATTTATATAGTGGCATTATGGTATTTTCTGTTTTATAATCTATTCCTTTCCTGATGATGCTTAACAATCTGTTAGCTTTTTTGACTGCTGCCGCACTCTGAGCAGATGTTTTCACAGAACTATTCTTGAGAGGTAACAGCTAACTTAGACCTACCATTTTGTGTGTACAGTTAGGGTTTTTTTTCCCAATGTGCATTACTTTGCATTCATCAACACTGAATTTCACCTTTTGTTGCTCAGTCACCCAGTTTTCTGAGATCACTTTGTAACTCTTCACTTTGGACTTCCCTATCTTGAGAAATTTTGTATTGTCTGCTAACTTTGCCACCTCACAGTTTACCCCCTTTCTCAGACTATTTATGACCATGTTGAACAGCATGGGTCCCAATATGGATCCTTGGGGGCCCTGGCTATTTACCTCTCCCTGCTGTGAAAACTGACCATTTATTTCTACCCTTTGTTTCCTATCTCTTATCTCTAGTTACTGATCCATAAAAGAACCTTTCCTGTTATGTCATGACTGCTTACTTTGTTTGAGAACCTTTGGTGAGGGACCTTGTCAAAAGCTTTCTGAAAGTCCAAGTACACTATAACACTGGATCACCCTTGTCGGAATACTTGTTGACACCCTCGAAGAATTCTAATAGATTGGTGAAGCATGATTTCCCTTTACAAAAGCCATATTTACTCTTCCCTGACATATTGTTGTCACCCATGTGTCTGGTAATTCTATTCTATACTATAATTTCAACCAGCTTGCCTGGTACTGAAGTTAGGCTTACCAGCCTGTAATTGCCAGGATTGCAACTGGAGCCTTTTAAAAAAAACTGTTATATTAGCCCTGCTCCAGTCATCTGGTAGACAGACTGATTTAAACAATAGACTATATACCACAGTTAGTAGTTCTGCAATTCCAGATTGGAGTTCCTTCAGAACTCTTGGGTGAATACCATCTAGGGTGACCAGACAGAATATGTGAAAAAATTGGACAGGGGGTGGGAGGTAATAGGAGCCTATATAAGAAAAAGACCCCAAAATCAGGACTGTTCCTGTAAAATCGGGACATCTGGTCACCCTAATACCATCTGACCCTGGTGACTTATTACTGTTTAAATAATCAATTTGTTTCAAAACCTCCTCCACTGACACCTCAGTTTGAGACAGTTCCTCAGATTTGTTATCTAAAAAAAGAATGACTTCTGTGTAGGAATCATCCTTACATCCTCTGCAGTGAAGCCCAATTGCAAATAATTAATTTAGCTTAACCCTGTAAATAAAATATTTGCAATACAAAGTGAAGGTGTAAGAAAGAAAATCTGCCATTTGCACTCAAGCAATAGGCCATACACTTCATAGCCTTTATATCATAGCCTGTTTTATGCAGAATAAGAATGTTGGACAGGGCACTGCAAATGTGAAATGGGAATTCCAACTTTCTCCACAACAACAACCAAGGATAAGTAGAAGAACCTTAAACATACCATTCAACTCTAACTCTTCACTGACTTATCAGCAAAGGGAATGATCACAAACCTTGGTGAGATGCTTGAACTTAGTACATTTCTAGACACAATGAAAAAAACACGAACAAAACTACACCAAATATCCAGAGATATGCTTTGAGTGAAATTAATAGGCAATAAGAGGGTTGTGTTTACAAAAGATACCTTCAATTCCATTTTTATTCCTATTCAAAAAACCAAACTGCACTGCTATCTTCTGGGCATAAGAAAACTGGTATTTTGTTTGAAAATGCTTCTTTTTTTAATTTTAAGACTGAAAAACAAATTACCTCTAAATCACAATCCATAGAGGAGTATAAATTGCTACTGTACATGTAAAAATTACAGATGCTTAGACATATCTGAAATGCATTTGTGTTTCTCATACTTTGCACTAATTAATGATTCTGGGAAATATTTTCAAAGGTACACATGGCAGTGTAAGAGTGTGGGACTCAACCCTGCGGCACCTCCTGCTGGTGTCCTGGGAATTAGCTCCACTTCCAGCCTTGGAGCGCCCTCTTCAGGCCGTTGTCCCGCTTACACCGGGCCCTCGTGTCCCTCCTGGACCTGGTGCCCCTTGTATGCTGGGGTGCTGACCCCTGGCAGTAACCCCTCACTTGCAGGGTCTCCCCTCCCTGGGGGACCTCCCACCCCCTATCCCTACCTCGCCTCAGTCGTAGGCTCCTGCCAGTCACCAGCTAGCCCCCACACCCTGGGGCAGACTGCAGTATAAGCCACTCATCACAGGCAAGGTTGAGTTTGGACCTGCTGCCTCTGTCTCACCTTGGGCTGTCCCCTGAAGCCCCAGTACCTGCTGGGCCTAATGCTAGGCCGTAGCCTGGGGCTTTTCTGGCTGGAGCTCCCTAGTTCCTTAGGCCCTTCCCCAGCCCTGCTCTAATCTAGGTACTCTGCTTAGGTCCCTGCAGCCATGTCCCTCCCTCTCAGAAGCTAGAGAGAGTCTCTTGAGCTTCAGCCCAGCAGCCCCTTTATAGGGTCAGCTGAATCTGTTTGGGGCGTGGCCATATCTGAGGCTGCCTCCCAATCAGCCCAGCCTAAGGCTCACAGCCCCGGCCCTCTCCCAGGACCATTTTAAGTCCTTCCAGGCAGGAGCGGGTGACCACCCTGCTACAGGCAGATAGGTACAAAACTTCCACTGAAAGCCAGTGGGAATTAAGCACCTGACTGTAATTTGTGCTTTTCAAAATATCCCCTGTAGTCCACGATTTGCAAAAATAGCTCTATTAATCCAACACCGTATACTATATAATATCCTTTGTGTTTAGGGCCCAATCTTGAAAGGTCTGCTCTGTGCATGGCTCTCCCTTTTCAGTCAATGGAAAGTCTATGTATGAAGTATTTGTAGGCTCAGGCCCATAATTTGTACAAGTGAATGGATACCAAAGTCTTCTATGTAAAATAACAACCTTTTCACTATATTTAAGTTACCAACCGAAGACTTGCTTGTTGTGAGTGGTTCTGAATTTATATAAACAAACCAACCTCAAGATTAAAACATTTCAGGAGCACTTTTCCTATCCCTTAAAGGCCTAATAAAAATCTTCCCACTATTGGAAAAGTGTTAATTATTGCTTTAAAGAAGCCCATATTTGCTACTCTGACATTGTCCAGCGTCAAGCAAAGCCACCGACTCTCATGAGTCTCAAAACTCCAGCTCCTGGAGTCAGGTGAGAATCTCAGTTTTGATTTTCTAAATAGTTAAGTTTCTGTTGCTCCTGGCTTTGTAGAAAAGCTTGAAAATGTTAACTTTAAAAGGTCAACAATTCATAACATAACATAAATAATCCAACATATGTTATTTTTAAATCTCATGATTTATTAAGCTAATCTCATCATATATTTGTGTATGCATGCAAACAGAGAGAGAGAGAGAGAGAGAGAGAGAGAGAGACTTCAGGTAGATACCAGGTTCTTCCATTAACAAACAATAGCATTATCTTGTATTCTCATGATATGCAAAGGTTCTGACCTGAAGCTGATGGAAGGGGACTTGTAGTGAGATTCGCAGGCTCTGCTAGAACAAAACATAGTTGAGATAACCCTTAGTTTAGTTCTAATCTATATCTGTAAACACTCTAGTGTGTAGATTTACTTTTTTGATGGTTCTCAAAAAAAATCTGAAAAGTTTGGGTGCTTATCTGTTGGTTATCCCATCAACACCTTCCTCCTAACCTTTCTAACAATAGTCTACTTTTTTCTTCTTACCCAACTCTTCCCAAAGCACCTTCTTCCTCTACCATAGGCCCTTGGCTGCTGATTAAGGTATTGGTTATTGTGCGTATGTACTATTGCCAAGACCTCAGTGTGATCATCTCATCTTTATCTCAAAAAAAGATGTGTTATCACAGCCAATGAAGAGCATCTTTCAGCTCAAGAGATAGAGGCTTTGTTTTTGGAGGAAGAACAGACCTGAGTTGAAAATCAGGTGCAAAGTGTGTGGTGTAGTTAACAACAAGGATGTTTGTGTGTACGTAGTGATTGATCATTTAGGGTACAATTTTCTCTCATTACAATTGCATGCAGGGTCAAGTTAGCTCTGAATTACACAATGGGATCGTTACATATTTCAGTCTCTCCCTTTGAGCCTCTTCCAACTGGCTTTAATTGCTCACCTTTGATTCTGAATTTGTAAGGCCCAGCAGCTGTGGCAGCATCCCCGTGTCCAGCGAAACCTAAGTGTGCCTTTCCCCATAAGATTTCCATTGAGAATGGAATCAAAGCTTAGGAAAGTTGTTGCACTAACCATCTCTCATAACATAAGAATGGATAGCTCTGGCCTTATCTAAACCAATCTGAACCTTTACAAAGTTTTTGTTTGGAGTCAATGGGTGGGCAAAGATTTATGCTTGTTTTTATTTTTTTTCCAGACTGGTTTAAATCACTAGACTCCAAGGACTTCCATACAAAATACAAAAGTTTGTCTCCTCATTATAGGTGAGTTCAAATCCAAGCGTCTTAGATTATCTAGGGTATTACTTCAGGTGACATATCACTTTATTGACCAGCTCCCCAGTTGCTGTACTGAAGTGCATCTCCAATGAAGTCAATGCAGCTATGCCAATTCACACAGGATGAATATCTGGCCCTACATTTGTTATTGTACCTTACTTGGGCACACAAGCTAGTTTTCATTTACAAGAAGTACTGACCTGATGATGATAGAGATGGGCTTGTAGTCAGAGTTTCAGGAGCTGTTGGAACAAAATCAAGTTAAGTGTAAACTTTCTGTATAAAGTATTTTGGAGTTTCACATTAGTGTAGGAATATCTCAAATATTTTTTTACTTGAATGTTCCTCTGAGCCATCTGAAATTTTCCAGTTCTCTCCTGGTGAATATCCTACCTCTCTTGCAGCTTTTCCTCCCACTCTGCAAGCTCACCAAGGATTACCATTCCACATCAAGCCCTTTCTCCCAACTCTCTCTCATGCACACAGGCTCCTCAATCTCTATTCCTTCTCCTCTTCAAGAAGGATTTTATAAAGAATGTGTGTCTGGGGACTCATGGGGACTCATCTGTGACTGTCAGAAGGGACATATCTTTTCAAGCAGCCATCTTGAGTCATATTACCATTTATATCACAGTACTCCTTGAGGCACCTGCATCGCATAAGACAATATTTGGATCAGTTAAATGAGCTGAAATTAAAATGTGGTATGGCAGCAATTTTCCAAAAAGAAAGTTACTTTCTATCACTATGGAAGCTGTGGGAGCATGGACAAATCACTTCACCTCTGTGCCTCAATTTCCTCATCTGTAAAATGGAGATGAGACTTTTCTTGCTATAGTATGTTGAGATTTAGGAAGTTAAAGTGCTATGTACAATTTTCATTCTAATGATTAATTGGATGTTCAATTACTGATATCATATTGTTGCAGTAGTCCTGGAGGAATACACAGTTGTTATCTCATTTTAAGTCAGACCTGTTAATCTCTCACAGCAACAAAAGTTTGGCTACTCCGAAGCTCACAAGTAGATATATCACCCTTTCAGTTCATAATTTTCTTCTACAGAATTTCTGGGATATAGTGGTCAATTATTTCCCACAATGATGTGCTGTTTTATAGAAAAAAAACAAACAAAACTTCTAGATGGTGCAAATAGTCAAGATAAATAATGATGTCATGGCTCTGAATTTAGTCATTGAATACCTAAAGTACCTAGCATGAAATGTGCCTTTAGTATATAGAGTGTAAGAAACTTTATCCACCAGATGTCTCTCTCCCCTTATGAAGGCAATCAGTAGCTACTTAATAGTGTCTCAAACAAGGTTAAAAATGTGAGTTAATCAACTTCCACTTCAAGGGATTCAAATTAATTTTTTATTCTCTTCCTCACTGTCAGCCTGTTCCGAAACTCATTGAAGTCAATGGGAATATTCCTACTTATTTCACTGGGTTTTGGATCAGGTCTTATCCATTACTCATACACCTTTTCCCTCTGGGTATCGAGGGTCCCACCACCACTTTTTAATCATATTTATGATGCTTAGAATCACCTCATCCACTTATTGACAACTCAGAGTTTTTCCTTTCTGGTTAAATGAAACTGAATCATCAAATCCTTTTAAATTCCATTCTTAATGTTTGTTTCCACTTACATGAGATCCCACTTCCTTCCCTTATCTGCCTTCACAAGCAAAGCAGAACATCTCACTTTCTATGAACACTAGAACCTCTCACTACCCTTGGTCCAAATGTTGGGAGAAAGAATTGTATTTACTTATGAAATAACATTGTTGGGCCTTAATTACATTACCTTGAAGGACATTGGTAGGCATCACAAATGATGGACACCATAAATAAACGATTAATATTATGGAATTTCACTGGGCTTCCACCATTATTTTATCCTCTTGTTTCCCTTTTAAAGCGTATATATCACACTGACACACCCTTCTGTGAAGATGACTGCATCGCTCCCAGTGTGGTTTGTGAATGCTCCTTCCAGGTTGGCTAAAGGAGATCACTTGTGAACAGCTCACAGGCTATTGGTCAAGATTTTCCAAAGTATTTAGGTACCTAACTCCCACTGAGGATTTGGGCCTTCTTCCCTACAACTTATGTAGCCTCTGTTGTGCCAGCTAGTAAAGGAATCTCCTGTAATGGAATTTTCATGGGTGGATTTGTATACCTGCATATATGCCATTGCAGGATTGAGTGCCAATGTCTGCAATTGACTTACATTTCAAGGTTTCAAAGAAAGCAAATAATTTTCATAGTTACCTGTGATTTCTATGCTGTTCACATCAATGTTAATAGTCTGCAAAAGGCTAGTTTTATTTGCGTTAGTTCCTAAAACGAGTTCATTCTTTGTTTTCTCATTAGATACCCACTGTGCAAAGTATAGGTTGAATATTACGATAATGCTGCCATTTCTGCCAAACAGAAAACACCACAGAAGAAAAAAACAAGTTAATTACACAAAATACCAAGTGAATAACATATTTGACATATTGTTTTTTAAAATCAAGATTACATTTTTTTTCTAAAAGATATATACTCTAGTTCAAACAAGAATTATTTTGGTGAAGTTCTGTTGCCTGTGTTTATATAAGAGATCAGACTAGATCAGGGATCAGCAATGTTTGGCACGCGGCCCACCAGGGTAAGCCCCCTGGTGGGCCGGGCCGGTTTGTTTACCTGCCGCGTCCACAGGTACAGCCGATAACAGCTCCCACTGGCCACGGTTTGCTGCTCCAGACCAATGGGAGCTGCAGAAAGTGGCACAGGCCGAGGGATACCTGTGGCAGGTAAATGGACATGGAAGGTAAACAGACTGCCCTGGCCCGCCAGTGGGCTTACCCTGGTGGGCCGCGTGCCAAACATTGCTGATCCCTAGACTAGATGATCACAGTGGTCCCTGCCGGCTATAGAATATATGAATCTAATGAGGATCTCATTCTAATAATAGGTTCCATCCACCAAACTCAAACTGTCAGGGTATAATGGATGAGCAACTAGAGATATGGTGAAGGGAGATAATTTTTAAAAAGTACTGAACACCTTAGAAACTTGAAGCCTGATTGTCCTTTCACTTACATTGCTGTAAATCAAAAGTAACTCCATTTAAATCAAAGGAGTCAATTGTGTTATACCGGTGTAAATGAAAGGAGAATCAGGACCTGTGTTTAGCTAAACCCACACTGAGTCTTGATTAGGTCTCGCATTTTAGGCTTTATAACAATGACAATAGCCTTGAAATATCCACATGATAAAACATCATGTAAAGTACTTCTTTTTGTGACCCCAAAGTTAAGTATGTTTGTGTCACAGGTGGATTCAATAAGCACTGGGGCTGTTCGCATGAAACAATACAGGGTGAAATCATGTTTTCACTGAAGTCAATGGCAAAACTTCCATTAATTTCTTTGGGGACAGGCTTTCATTTAAAGTGATGCCCTGGTAATTAGAGCAGGGCAAAATTTTCTGCAGAAACATTATTTCACTAATAAATAGAGATTTGTGACAACCAAAACGTGGTGAATTTTTATCGACTTTGGAAAATCGTCTCACTTGAAAAAAATATGAGAAATTTCAAAATGGTTCATTTTGACATGTCCAAACTGAAAGTTTGATTCTGGGGGCTAGATTCACAAGGTGACTTAGGTGCCATTCCCATAAGTCAGAAGGTGGTGGTGGCATCCCCTTAAGACCACTAGCAATCACACTCAAGTGGACTGTAGGAAACCCAGGTTTGAATCCCCACTCTGGAGATGAAACTTGAACCAAGGTCTCTCATATCCCCTGATAGCTGTCCTTATCACCAAGATACTGGGTCTTTCCCCTTGAAGCTGTCCCACTTTCAAAAAAAATATTAACTGGAATCTGGGTGTCCCCCTTCCCAGGTGAATACTCTAATCACCAAGATAGAGAGTTTCTTTCTCTCTCTTTTTCCCAATGAATATTTCACGATTGAATACAAAGTGGAACAGCTTCAACAGGCAAAACTGAAGGGATACCAAATAGCCAGGTGGTTAGGGCAGTCACCTGGTATATAGGAGACCTGGGTTCAAGTTTCTGCTCCAGAGTGGAGATATGAACTCAAGTTTCCAACACTCCAGGTAAGTGCCCTTGATATAAAGGAGGACAGCACCCCCCTCCTTCTGTTTTGTGAGTGGCCTTAAGTCCCTTATATTTCTTTTGCTTTTATTAAGAAACATTTAAAGTTGTCTGCAATTGGAAAAAAAAAACAACGTGTAGTTTAATCTGCAACAATTTTTTCTGACTTTTTGATTCACCAAAAATTGCCCGCAAATTCAGTTTCGAGTCAGCCCCAAACCATTTCCTCCTGATTTTTCAGAACTGCTATCAAACTGAAAATGTATATATTCACCCAGCTCTATTAGTAACCCCTGCTATTCAGGTCTATACTTATAGCAACGTCTTGGTTGAGTTGAATATATAATGTTGCTTATTGGAGAAAAGGACATTTTCTCTCCCTGCTGAAAAACAGCAGTGACCGCCCTTATTGCAAAGTATTTGTGTTAGCAGACTGCCACTGATTCAACAGCACTCTTTGATATGAGGTGATTAATCTTATCACTGCACTGAGCACAGTTTGCAATATATTAAAAGACTAATTTCTTAAATGATTCTGATAACCTCTAGGCCATGCTGAGTAAACAAAAGCTTTTATTGCTGTCTTTGTGACTCAGCCGAGTTCCAAGGGTGAGACAATAATCAGATTTCCCAAAAGGGTAAACAATTTTTTATGAAGAGTCAAGTAGAAAATAATTGCTGAGTCAAAGTAATAATTTAAGTATTTGCACAGTGGACAGGAATAGAGATTATTCCAAAGAATGTAGGGGCCTGATACAAAGTCCTTTGAAGTTAATGGAGTCTCCCTGTGACTTCACAGAGGTTTGGCTCCCACTTTACCTGCACAAAAGGAAAAGAAAAGGAAAAAAAAATCTATTTTGCCATAAAATGTCTAGAGGGCATAAGTTAATAGGAGTGTATTGGGGGGAGGGGAAGAGGAAGCATCAAACCTCAGGAAAATCAACCCACTTAGGGTAAATCTACATTGCTCCAGGGGTGTAATTTCTGTCTTGGGTAAATGTACCTGTGTTAGCTTTGATTGAGCCAGCGTGTGGCAAATAATAGCCTAGCCATGGTTAGTGACCGAAACTATAATGAAACACCTCTCCATGTTATTTTAAAGCTCATAAAAATAGAAATAATATTAGATATGTAATCATCTATGATTAGGAAAATGGTTGTGGGAGAATATTTCATGCTCACTAACATCTCCTCCTGTATGCTTATAAATGGAGAAAACAGCTCTTTACAAATATATGAATACCCGACTCTTTAAATACATATTCATAGTGCTGCTCTGGTATCCTCTCTCTCTCTCTTTCTCTGTTTGTCTCATTTCAGTCTCTCACAGTTGTATTAAAAGAAAGGAAAATGCAGTGTTGGGTTTCCTCTCTTTTCTTTACTGAAAGCCTGATTCTCTGTAGTCATTTATGCCAATGCAGAGTGGGTTTACGATGCTACTAGATCAGAAAAGCAGTGTTGTACACACACTCTGCAACGGAGTAATGGAGAATCAGATGCTTTATTTTATTATTTTGGAAGATTGTGTGGGAGAAAGTACTGTTAGGGGCATAGTAATTACATGCTCCTCTGTCTGTCTGATACAATCCCTGAATGTATGGTACACCCACAAATATTGTTCAGGAGCATTACTTTCTGCTTCAATAGCACTGATGTCTCCTGCCCTGTACAAGTGAACATTGTTTGATGACCTGATTTTGAGCCTGTTTTGAACTCTCAGGCTCTGATTCAGCAATCCATCCCTAAGCATGTGGTCAAGTGCTCTGCTGTATACCTTTGAAGCTACATTGAAATGTTTGGGACTTGAGCATGTCCTGAAGTTGTTTAGTGAATAGGGATGGTCCTGAGCAGATGCTCTGCTGAATCAGGGCCGCACTGAAACATGAGCAGACTGGACTGAACTCAAGTTTAGATAGGCTTGTGGCATAACTGGCATGAGGGAAATAAAGCTAACCATCCTTTAATAAAACAGAGTATACCCCACATGTTTTATACTGTTCAAAATGCACGAGGTGTGGGTCTGTCTGGGTTATAATAGTAGCCTAATCTCTATCACCACCAAGAAGAGCTGATCCTAAACTGTCATACATTGAGGTATCTCCATTGGTGCTAGGTCAGTTTAAACCAGCTGAGGATCTGTCCCTCAATCTTGAACTTGTCTCTAGTTCTCTAAGCCGCCAGGGTCTGGGACCACTCCGGATGAAGCACGCTCAGTAGAGCTTGAAAAAAGGCAAACACATTTTCTGTGAAAAAATTTACAGATTTTTAAAATTATTTTTCATTCAAATTTTGACAATTTTCTGGCCGTGGAAGAGAATTACTGTATATTGCTTGACACCCTTTGGCCAAAGCTTCTGAGAAGAATATAACTACACTGTGGAGGAATATAACTACACTGTGCTTCTCACAATAGTGTTCATCAAAGGAAGGGGAGAGATGAAATGTTCTCAATGGACCCCTTTGAGAGACAAAATCTTTTTTAGGCACTGTTGAGATTCATAATCTAATGAGGATTTTTAAATTTAAAAATTATGAACTACAGTATATACCCACTTGAACTGCAAAACTTCAGAGTTCTTATATTCATTCTTCAGCTGACTTGCTTGATAGATTTCATTTATCTATACAAAAATATGAAAAATTCTGAAGAACTACAAGTTAGAAATATACACAATTACACATAACAATTATGATTTTAACACCACACATGTTTTTCTCCCTAAATGAAATATGCTCCTTGAGGTGACTGAAATTGACATTTTTGTCAGTTTCACTGCTGCTATTCAATTAACAGTGGTTAAAGGGACAAGAATCATGTCAATTTCAGTCACCAGCTGCCAGGGCTCCTAGATAGCCAGGCCATGGCATTGAGGACAGGGACCAAGGGATCCCCAGTGTCCTGGTCTAGCTGAATCCCCAGGCAGGTTTCCGATGGAACCATCTCATATTTGATGAATCTGCATTTTCCAAAAATGTTTTGTCAGAAATTTCCCAACAAGTTATAACCGATATTAGATGCCTTTAAGAAATCAATACAGTTAATGACATGTTATCTGTTATATCCTCTTGAGTTAACCACAGACTCTTACCAATTGTTGAATATCAAAGGCAAGAGCCTTGAAGTCAGCTGATGAGTTGTCTTGTAAACCAGGGCTGAATGATGCTCCTGACAGTATTTTAAATGTTCCTGTGGCTGCATGACTGTTTCCATATACTTCAGTTGGATTATTTAAAGAAAAACAAAACAGTGGAAGTGTTGAATTATGTAGAGATGTAAGCAAGAGGTTGCATTTGACTTTTCCAATAAAGATCATCATAAAATATTGCTACTCTCTCCTTTCACATTCTATTCAGAGCTTTTCTTTGTGTTGCACTGGTTTCAAAAGAAAAGTCAGATTCTTTTCTGCTGCTTAAAGGATACTATTTCACAATGCTAACATCTTTAAATCCATGCTATTTTTTTCTAATCCCATTACTTTCAATTATATCTTCATTTCAGAGCTTCCTAGAACCACTATATTGCCTGCTGAAAGAGGCAATGACTGGTCAGCTTCCTCCAGCTAGAGCAACTAACTGATACAAGGGAAGCATGGTGGGCAATGAGCCATTAAAAGTTTGTAAGTTCTTGGACTGCAGGCACCAAGTCTCACCCTGTTGGCTTTCTACAAGTAAAAGCTCTGTGAACTTCTATATACACATACACCCCTTTGAGAAAATACTGCTTTCACTGAACGAATTATTATATGACATGTGTGACTGACCTTTTCTATCAGAACATACATGATTGTGTGGATGAGTTTATAAAAAACAAGTTCAAACAGGAATTAATTCAAGGAATATCCTATGGCCTGTGGTATGCAAAAGGTCAGATTAGAAGATCACAGCGGTCCCTTGTGGCTTTATAAACTATGAAAAAAAATATGTGCAAGTAGGTAGTAAGGGCTAGATTCAGAAAAGGACAGACACCTCACTGCCACTTTATGCACCTAAATCCAACATTTCAGCACCAGTGAAGTCCTTGACCCCCCTGACCAGATGCTGCCCAACTCTGTAGGCATCTAAAGCCTCTAGAGCAGCAAAATTTCTGCCATTCATGTCCCCACGGTGCCTACAAATCTACTAGTGAGCATGCGCACAGCTGCCTCAGTCTAGGCACCCAGGTGCCTATCTCACACCTAAGTCTCAGCAGGCTCTTCAGACTAGATGTTTCCCCACCTATCTTTTTTTTTAAAAAAAAAAAAAAAAAAAAGAAAAGAGGTTCACTGCCACATACCCCATCTAATGATTTTGCAAAAAGTATTTTAAAAAGAAATAAGAAAGTTAAAATGATTCGTTTCTACACTTTCCCATTTGAAATGTCATTGAAATTGACACATTCCTGTGACTTGTTTTGATTTTAGTGAAAGTGCATTTTCCTATGAAAAACTAACTAGCATTGACAGTGACAGTAACCTACTTTGACTATCGAGGGCTTGTCTGTGCAATATGCCGAGAACCTCCTACTACCAGCTGAGTGCCCTCACATCTCACTATCCACAAGGTTGGGAGATGAAGGTACTGTGCAGGATGGCACTTGAAATCAAAGTATTACATAAACTAGTAATATTGTTTGTCTCTGAAAAAATGTGATCCCAAGACACGTGGAGAATCTACAACACTACATGGAAGTCAGTACCTCAGAGGACCAAGCCAGAAGCTTGTCAAATAAAATGGTATTTCGATAAAGGACATTTACAAAAATGATACCGCCTACTTTAATGAAAAACAAAAGAAAACAAAAATACCCCAACCAGTGTAGCTTTTAATTTTTCCTCTGACACATCTGATCAAATATTATAATCTTTACTATTGAGATTAAAGTCCAGGGGCCTGATCAAAAGCCCACTGAAGACAATAAGAGTCTTCCCATCAACTTCAATGAACTTTGGATCAGGCCTGAAGTGTTTAAATTTTGCATATCTTGTTTGTAATGAATCTTTTTAAAGCAACAGTGGTCACAGCAGAGCATGAAACATGAAAAATAATTACAATGACAACAACAGTTGGCTTCCAAGTTTGAGCACTTACCAGAGAGCTCCTTTAAAGGTTAAATCTTGACTACTTACCTTGTTGCAACTCCTTGCTTAGTACCCATACAAGTGCAATTAATCCAGCACAAACACACACAAAAATTGTAAGCAAAACAACAAGACAGATTTCAAAGTCACTAAGAGGGATACTTCTCTTAGGTAACAATTTTTTCAGATTCATTTCCAGCTAGGAAGTTTATATCAATTAAGAATTGCTGCAAGAAACATATAAGCATGACAAAGAGGGCAGCGATCCACATGAACAGATATTTATAGGAGATATTTGTAAATTAATTGCACCATTAATCTTCATTTACACTCAGTCAGTATGATGTAGTTTTTATATTATTCCTGAATGATTATATCAATGTACAGTATATGCTGGTATAAACAGAAAACAAAACTCTCATTAAGGAAGATGATAATGTCTAAGATAAAAAATATCTATGGAGACAGCTACCCAAAGTTGTAAATGTTAATCATCAGCTTTATAATTACCTGTCATTTGCAAATTTTAAATTGAAAATAAATGTTACGAATATAGTTTATTGCAGCTTGGTTTACTATTTTAGGGTAAATACCCAGAAATAAAACTGAATTTAGCATTGCATCAATAAGTAATACAACCAAAGTATCCAGTTGGCAGTCACTTTAAGGGTCCAATCCTGTTCCTGGTTGAGTATCCTCAACTCCTACTGAAATCAGCGTGAGTTAAGAGTGTTCAGCACCTCATTATCTCATGAGTTTTAATCTTTTCAATATTTTAATCTTTATTTTAATTAAACTTTTTGCTGGACACTTTTATTGATTTGGTGCACTCATATATATGTGTCTGATAACTCCGTCTTGGGTAATATATATTGCTCAAAAATATTTTGGAGGATGTCCATAACCCTCTGGTGTATAAAGGCATCTCACAACCATGCTAATTTTGTTAGTACATTAACTTAAGGAAAGCCCTTTAGAATAGCATGGCTATTAACGATCATTTAAAATCGGATTACTAAATTACTAGAAGTTGTGTGAGCAGCTGATGTTTGTGTCTCATAAGTGTTGATGTTTGAAAAGAAATACTTTGCATGGGGATGTTTTAAGATGTCCAAAGTACTTATAAAAAGGAATGCGGAGCCCAAAGAAAGTGCAAGAAAAATGAATGATTTTATATGCTCCAGAGTCAAAGCTTATTAAATTGATAGAAAGGATCCTATGGATTTCAATGGACTGTACATCAGGCCCAAAATTATTTTAATCTATCACCACCCCATGCCAGACAATAAAAGATCAGATTTAGAATCTGAAGGTATGTCTACACTGCAAAGAAAAACTCATGGCACCAATTCTCAGAACCTGGGTCAATTCTCTTGTGCTCATGGGGCCATAGGCGCAGACTTCTAATGACGCTGGGAGGTGCTTAACCCCCCTCTGCCACCGGCCCTGCCCCGACTACACCTCTGCCCCACCCCGTCCCGCCCCCATTCCAACCTCTTCCCCAAAGTCCCTGCCCCAATTCCGCCCCCTTCCTGCCCCTATTCGACTCCTTCCCCAAATTTCCGCCCCAGCCCCGCCTCCTCCCGTGAGCGTGCCAGGTTCCCGCTCCTCCTCCATCCCTCCCAGTGCTTGTGCTGTTTGGCAGCAGCAAGCGCTGGGATGGAAGTGGAGGAGCTGGGACGTGGTGCGGTCAGGGGAGGAGGCGGAGGTGGAGCGGAGGGGTGGGGCAGGGAACTTGGCTGGTGGTGGGTTCAGAGCACCCACTAATTTTTCTTTGTGGGTGCTCCAGCCCCAGAGCACCCACGGAGTCGGTGCTTATGCATGGGGATCAGATGGTGGAGCTAAAAATATACTTTCCCACTTGGTCTGGAGTGGGGTTCTGAGACCCTCGTTGGGTTTCAGAGCCCGGGCTCCAGCCCAAACAGGAACATCTATAATGCTATTTTTAGCCCTCCAGCTCAAGGCCCATGAACCCCAAACATTTGACTTGTGCTCTGAGACTCATTGTCATGGTTTTCTTTGCAGCACAGCCAATACCCTATTTGTCTTAGCCCTGGTCTGCACTATGAGTTTAGGTCGGATTTAGCAGCGTTAGATAGGTTTAGCCCTGCACCCGTCCACACTATAAAGCCATTTTTTCTGACTTTAAGAGCTCTTAAAGCCGGTTTCTGTACTCCTCCCCAATGAGTGGATTAGGGCTGAAATTGACCTTGCTGGGTCCAATTTGGGGTAGTGTGGATGCAATTGGACAGTATTGGCCTCTGGGAACTATCCCAGAATTCTCCATTGTGACCGCTCTGGACAGCACTCTCAACTCAGATGCGCTGGACAGGTAGACAGGAAAAGCCCCGTGAACTTTTGAATTTCATTTCCTGTTTGGCCAGCGTGATGAGCTGATCAGCACAGGTGACCATTCAGAGCTCATCAGCAGAGGTGACCATGCGGTCCCAGAATTGCAAAAGAGCTCCAGCATGGACCGAACGGGAGGTACTGGATCTGATCGCTGTATGGGGAGATGAATCCGTGCTATCAGAACTCTGTTCGAAAAGACAAAATGCCAAAATATTTGAAAAATATATGGATGTACGCCCAAAGCCTTTGCAAAAGGTTTCTGGGGAGGGCAGCCTTATTCCGTCCTTCATGGTAGGACACTTTACCATGGCAGGCCAGAAGCACGCAGTCTGGAATCACTGCATAACAAAGCATGGTAGTGTATGGTCCCGGTGTTTGCTGGCATTCAAGCAACAGCTGTTCTTTATCTCTCTGTGTTATCCTCAAGAGAGTGATATCATTCATGGTCACCTGGTTGAAATAGGGGAATTTTATTCAGGGGACATTCAGAGCTGGCCGTTCCTGCTGGGCTGTTTGCCTGTAGCTGAACAGAAATCATCCCTGCTGTTAGCCACACGGTGGCGGGAGGAGTGAAGCAATCATCCCAGGAAATTGGGTGTGTGTGTGTGCGTGTGTGGGGTGGTTAGTTGGGTTTGTGCTGCACGCTAACCCGAAAACCGCAGCACCTCCTTTTAAATGGCCAACCCATTTTAAAGGGCCAACCCAACAGGTGCTTGGTATGTGAAATGAGGGTGCTGCTTTTTGAAACCATTTCCACATGTTAGGAAGGTTAAAGAAGCCAAAAGACAGTGGCTTACCATGTCTGCCTGCAAGCCAAATTCTGTTGCCTGCCGGCCCTGCGTGTGTAATCTCTCACACCATACCGGCAGGCCCTCAATATAAGAGGCAAAATGTGACCTTGAAAAGAAAGCACATGTGCTATGTAATGTTAACAACTTGGTTAACCATGAAAGAGTCTACCCATTGTTCTCTAAAATGTCTCTTTTTAAAGACTAATCTCCCTTTTTTCCCTCCCACAGCTGCAAATGTTTCATCGCTCCACGTATCATCTCCGTCCCAGAGGCTATCAAAGATTAGAAGCTGAAAAAACCGCACTTACGATGAAATGTTCTCTGTACTCATGCAGTCCTCCCACGCTGAAAGAGCCCAGCACAATGCGTGGAGGGAGACAATGTCAGAGTCCAGGAAAGCACAAAATGAATGTGAGGACAGGAGGGACTAGCAAGAGGACAGGAGGGATGAATGAGAGGAGAGGTGGTGTCAAGGTTCCTTCCCCACTCTGAACTCTAGGGTACAGATGTGGAGACCCGCATGAAAGACCCCCTAAGCTTATTCTTACCAGTTTAGGTTAAAAACTTTCCCAAGGTACAAACTTTGCCTTGTCCTTGAACAGTATACTGCCACCACCAAGCATTTTAAACAAAGAACAGGGAAAGAGCCCACTTGGAGACGTCTTCCCCCAAAATATCTCCCCAAGCCCTATACCCCCTTTCCTGGGGAAGGCTTGATAATAATATCCTCACCAATTTGTGCAGGTGAACACAGACCCAAACCCTTGGATATTAAGAACAATGAAAAATCAATCAGGTTCTTAAAAGAAAAAAAAATAATTAAAGAAAAGGTAAAAGAATCACCTCTGTAAAATCAGGATGGAAAATACTTTACAGAGTATTCAGATTCAAAACACAGAGTGTCCCCCTCTGGGCAAAACCTTAAAGTTACAGAAAACAGGAATAAACATCCCTCTTAACACTGGGAAAATTCACAGAAAACAAAAGATAAACTAATCGGCCTTGCCTGGCTTACCTATACTGGTTGAAATATTGGAGACTTGGATTAGGATGGGTTGGAGAAGATGGATTTCTGTCTGGCCTCTCTCAGTCCCAAGAGAGAACAAAATGTAAACAAAGAGCACAAACAAAAGCCTTTCACCCCCCAAGATTTGAAAGTATCTTGCCTCCAGGCACCCAACCACTCCACCCCACGGGACTGCCCAAGCAACAGAAAGCTGGCATTCAATAAGTTTTGAACTGCAGTGTGGCCTTGTCCTTCCCTCCTACCCCACCCACCCAGTGCTTCCCTCTTCCCCCACCCCTCACAGGCTACCTTGGCAGTTCTCCCCCTATTTGTGTGATGAATTAATAAAGAATGCCTGAATTTGAAACAACAACAACTTTATTGCCTCTGCAGGCAGTGATCAAAGGGGAGAGGGGAGGGCAGCTGGCTTACAGGGAAATAGAGTGAACCAAGGGGCTGGGAAAGAAACAGAACTGTCATACCGTAGCCTGGCCAGTCATGAAACTGGTTTTCAAAGCTTCCCTGATGCACAGGGCGCCCTGCTGTACTTCTAACTGCCCTGGTGTCTGGCTGCGTGTAATCAGCAGCCAGACGATTTGTCTCAACCTCCCATCCCGCCATAAATGTCTCCCCCTTACTTTCGCTGATATTGTGGAGCACACAACAAGCAGTAATAACGATGGGAATATTGGTTTTGCTGAGGTCTAACTGAGTCAGTAAATTGCGCCAGCGCGCTTTTAAATGTCCAAATGTACATTCTCCCACCATTCTGCACTTGCTCAGCCTATAGTTGAACAGCTCCTGACTACTGTCCAGGGTGCCTGTGTATGGCTTCATGAGCCATGGAATTAAAGGGTAGGCTGGGTCCCCAAAGATAACTATAGGCATTTCAACATCCCCAATGGTTATTTTCTGGTCTGGAAAGTAAGTCCCTTGCTGCAGCCATTCCCACAGACCAGAGTTCCTAAAGATGAGAGTGTCATGTACCTTTCCCAGCCATCCCACATTGATGTTGGTGAAATGTCCCTTGTGATCCACCAGTGCTTGCAG